TTCTTTAGGAAGAGACAAAAATCAATTACACAATAAACAATTTCCTAACAGATTAAAAAAAAAAAAGGAAAATAATCACAAGGTGCCATTGGAAGAGCACTATTAAGTGATGACACTCAAGCTGACAGATGAAAGATGAACAGCTCTGAATGTGCAAGGAGTCAGGGAAAGTGTTCCAGGTAGAGGGGAACACGTGTGCAGAATCCTGGAGACACCAAAAACCTAGTGGATTCACAAAACTAAAAAAAAAAAAAAAAAAAAAAAAAATTCTAGACATGATTTGAATGCCACATATGTGGCAGTAGGTATACTGAAAAGGACAATCAAGTGGACAGGTGATAATGGATCTATAGGCCATGACAGGAACCTGGGTTTTATTTTAGGAGCAACAGGGACATAATATGATCTCTATCCTAAGGTCATTCTTGCCACAGTTTGAAAAACTGCTTAAGGGTTGAAAATGTGAAAACTGGGAGTACAGAGCACGGGAGAGCTGATGGTGGCAACTGTCAGGGTTAAGGCCTTTAGGAATACCTAGGATCCTTCCCTCTAGTATTTTTGCAAAACTCATCTATGATTGTGCAGCAAAAATTACAAATGTGATAAAGGATGCTGTTTTGTCCTATGATGCACTTTTTTGGCGGGGTATTGGGGGGCTCTCTTCTCCCCCAAATCACCATAAAATGAAATCTTTGTCAATTCTAGGTATTAGAACATATAACCTTAACCAACATTGTTAATCATAAAGTACAGTTATTTCCAAAATGCAATTTTCCTTTTCCTGTTAAGGAAGGTGGTGGGGCCTTCCCAAGGCGACGCCAAGCGGCTTAAGAATTAAGGAGAGGATGGGGAGACCAATCTTTAGGCGCCTACACAAAAAGAACAGCAAGTACAAAGGCCTTTAGACAAAAAAGATATTGCCGTGTTTAAGGAACCGAAAAGCCGAGTGGATGGAGCAGCAAAAGAATGCGGTTCATATTTAATAACCAGGTCGTGTCTTGACATCACTCAGAGAGAAAGGTGTCTAGCTAAGGTTGAAGTTTTACAATTGCTTCACAAAAGCTGATAAAAACTCCACCTCTGTTAAACACAGAGCAGAAAATACTGGTTTAAAAGAGAATGAACACATCTAGGAGGGGCCTGGCAGTATAGTCCCAAAGGTGTGACACTGAAGTTCTCCGCGGGAGTCACCACGCCAGGGCTTATCCCTCCAATCAAATCCCCAAACTAACACCTCCACACCTTCAAACGTCCACAAGTCAGGAAAGTTCTGAGGAATTTATTGTCTTCAATCGGCCCCCACGCTTTGCCTACCCTGACCCTGTGCCTATCAATCAAAAGCAGCTTTGCCCATTCTAGGGTGCGAACGGCCCGTCCGCACCCAAATCTGAGAAAACTCAGGCAATGGGCTCTGGCAGGATAAAGATCAACAGAACCTCCCACCACCGGCTCCCCAGCCTCCACCGGAAGTTGCCTGAGTGGCGAGACAAAAACTCCGTCGAGGGGCGTGTCTCCGCCAGCAGCCAATGGGCTCTGCCCACCTCCCTCCTCGACAGCGTTCGTTCCAATCGTGGCCTGTGACGTTTGAAGAGCCGGCGCGGAAGAAGTTACGGAAGCCGAGAGGGGCGTGGCATTTTAGTCTCTGGGAAGCCGGGAAGCGGAGGCAAGATGGTTTACATCTCGAACGGTGAGTTGGAGGGGATGTGGGGGTGGCCGGTTTCCAGGCAGGCCGGATTTCGGAATTTTGTTTTCCCATCCTATCTCGTCCGGCCCAGGCCCCCGAGCGGCTTTCCCGGCCTTCGTGCGGAGTGATCGGGCGGAGCTGGATGCGAAATCGCCCCAGCCTAGAGCGCATCAGCGTTTGTCCCCCGTGCTGACGACGGTCGGGGACCGAGGTCCCCTGGAGTGGGGTCCTGCGGACGTGAAGCTAAGCCTGGAGATCTCGGAGCCCTTGCCTTTGTACAGCGAGCTTCTGATTGCGGATTTTCGAAAGTGGTCTTTGCTGTCGGGCGTGGCTGTCCTTAACTAGTGGAGACCGGGATGTTGACTTAGGACACGTTGCGCTTTCTTTCTTTKCCTTGAGCACTGTTAGAGCCCCTGTGCTTCTCGCCTCGTTTAGTCTTTGTAACTGCCTAGTCAGGTAATGTTTTATCCCTGTCTTAAGAATGGAGACTGAGGCCAGAGGCCCAGGATCACAAAAGTAATTAATGGCTGAGTTCGAATTCGAACCCAGGTAGGTTAGGATCAGCGGCCTTATTAACCATACTGTTTCTCTAATGTGTTAAAAAAAAAAAAAAATCCCCAAACCAGAACTAGCCTAAGGCCATAATTAGATAAAAGCTTTGGATAGGCTCTTCCCCCAAAAGAGTGTAGCCAGTCATATACCCAACTTTTTGCCCGATTTTCCAGGAACTAAAGAAAAAGCACCCTTGTCTCTAGGAGCAAATTAATTATCAGAGGAATAGAGGATCTGAGAGAGACTTAATTCTGTGAGTTTACAAAGGAAATGACTGGAAAGAAAAGACTTAGTATAATGGATGAGATCAGTGTCAAACCAACTGCTGCTCACCTGTTTGACTCAGGTGATATTCCGTGGTGCAATGTTAGTAGTTTTTGGATCACTGGAAGTAGGTACTGGTTCTACTTGAATCATCTGTTTATCTCCAGACTGTTAGGGCAGTCGGTGAGAAGTCTTGGCTGAGTGTACTTTGCATTTCTTTGCTTTACCAAATCCTATCTCCCACTTTAAAAATCCTGGAAACAAGTTGGTTGGTGGACACTAAAGGAAAGCATCAAAATTTAATTTCATCTTAGTTTTGGACACTTGCAGACTTTAGTTTGTCTTATATTATTTGTGATTAAGACTAGTAGCTTCTATTTATGCATTATTGAGTAATTCCTTGTATTTGTTGAATGCTTTAATGTATATACAGTATTCTATTTTAGCCACATAAATATCCTGTTAGGACCTTTTATCTCCCCTAACCATTTTTTTTAAATTTTGAGACAGGGTCTCACTAAGTTGCTGAGGCTGGCTTGCTGAACCTGCCATCCTTCTCCTTCAGCTTCCTGAATTGCTGGGATTATGGGAGTGCCCCACCACGCCCAACTTTATCTCACTTTTATAATTGAGAAATGTAGTTTTATTCAAGCACCTTTTTTTCCCTCTGGGGATACTAGAGGACAGGGGCTTCTGCCTTTATAAACTGGCATGGGGGAAGGGCAAACAAAAAGATAGACTTATGGGTATGCATACTATAGATTCTTTAAAATCACAACCGAAGAATTGGTGGGTTCCAGTTAGACCCTTTTTAGATTTGTACTTGTCGGCACAAAATATTTCTATTTTTTCTATCTTATGATTTTCCCCTGAAAATTCCATGTGATGGATATTCCTGAAATACTTTTTCTCAGGCAAGAGAAATGTCACATCAACCCATAAAGCAGAGCTATAAGAGGCAGAACCAAGCCTATACCCTCTTTTTTGACTGTGTAGCCAGTTTTTCTCACCACCTCAATGAGAGCTTAGATCCAGGAGGGTACCTGGGAATAAGTTGGTCAAGGAAAGAGGAAAAGTAAACCAGGGCAGAAGTGGTAAGCAGATAAAGCCCTTGGGACCTTGGAGAGGCAAGGTAGTTGACAGTTATTCTTTGCCCCAAATATTCTGACCTCTTGAGTTGCAAGACTGAAACACTAGAGTATAAACTTTTCATGTAGTAGCTGCTGTTATTTAAAAGTTCTTTGAAAAATTAGGTCCAGTTTTGCTTGGGACAAAGATAGTTTATTGTTAGGCTCAAGAGCATCCTGTTATAGAAAATAGGGATCATTTTAATGAAGGACAGGCCACTTCTCTTCAGTATTTATAGCCTGAGGACTCTTTGATTTATAGGAATTTCATTAAAATAACTCATTCTGAAAATTTGTGAGAGTATGTATAAACAATCTTTTCATACAGGCAAGAGATTTTGCAAGTGAAAAAATATTTTAAAATGGAAGTGGTTGAGCATTCCTTTCTATCCACCCAAGCCATTTGTTTCTTCAGAATACTTGAATAAAGAGATGTTTATACCATGTTCTCAGCAGCATGATTCAGTATAAGAAACTTGAGTCCACTGACAAATGAATGGATAAATGTATATACATACTCTGGAGTATTAGTCCTAAAAAGGAAGGAAAGTTTGACAAATGCTAAAATGTGGATGTAACTTATAAGACACTATTAGGTGAAATAAGCTAATCACAAAAGAAGACATGATTCTTTTTTTTTTTTTGGTACTGGGGATTGAACCCAGAGGCACTTTACCATGGAATCACATCTCTAGCCCTTTTGTTTTTTGAGATAGGGTCTTGCTAAATTACTTAGGACCTCACCAAGTTGCTGAGGCTGGCCTCAAATTTGTGATCCTCCTGCCTCAGTCTTCCAAGTTGCTGGGATTATCTGCCCGGCTCCCTACAATTTCTCTTATATGAGGTTCCTACAAGTCAAATTCTTAGAGACAGAAATAATAATGATAAAGGCTGGAGGAAGGAGGTAATGGGCAGTCAGAGTTTAATGAGTGCAGAGTTTAAGTTGGGGGAGACTAAAGTCTTGGAATGGTAGTGATGGTTTCAGAACAGCATGAATGTACTTAATGCCACATAACTATGCTTAAAAATGGGGTAAATTTTATTATGTAAATTTTATCACTAAAATGTCTTGTTATATGTATTTTACTAATAAAAACAAAAGAGGTCTTAGAGAAATATTTGAATAGAATGAAGTCAACCACTCGACTTATATACCATAGGTAAGCATTTGATATATTAAAGGAATGATCCCTGGATTATGGAGCTTTACTTCCCTGAACCCTTCCTTAGAATGATACATACATTGTAGACTACTTCTTGTGTTGGCTATAGAAACAGCTGACTGAACTTATCATTGTTGCCTACCTAAATGTAATGCCACTTGGGTCAGAAATTTGTAGTACTTACCAAAGTTTCTTTATTCTTTTCTATAGGACAAGTGTTGGACAGCCGGAGTCAGTCCCCATGGAGACTATCTTTGATAACAGATTTCTTTTGGGGAATAGCTGAGTTTGTGGTTTTGTTGTAAGTATACTAGTGCTCTTAGTTGCTCTGATGTTTAAGTTGATTGAAGTATATTAGTACATTATGTGGCATATCTTCAGCTTAGCTCTCCTGAAGCAGTTAATTGTAATTTTCAAATCATTTTTGGAAAGGGCAGTTGAGATTCATTTAATGATAAAGCTGCCACCACCAAACATCTTCCAATTAAGTTAGCTGGGTTTGCTTAACTTTGTAACCATTTCAATCTGCAGCCAGGCCTGTCAATTATGTTGTCAAATGACTATGCTTTGCATTCTGTCTACTGATTCCTTGTTTTCAAATATGGGGCAACTTTTATTCTACATTATGTGTAATAACTGAATAAGGAGAATTTTTATCTGTTGTTTTTTTTTTTTTTTAAAAACCCAAATCCTAAGTAGTTAACTTTTTAAAATAAAGACAGAATTGATGCAGAGAAGACAACAATTTAAACTTCCTCAATAATTTTAAGCAATTCTTATTTAAGTGCATTTTTGGTCTTTCATGTGCTTGTTTTATGAGAACTACTAATAAGTCTTATGGTAAGTTTGAATGTGTATTTGACTGTCTCCTAAAGTACTACAGAGTTGCAAAATCATGGGAGACAGTTCCTTCTTCACGTTGCAAGGGGTGGCAGGATTGGCGTGATTATGGATGTTGGACATCAGAGGAAGTTATTCAATGTGGAGAAAACCATATGCAGGTTGACAGAGGAGTGTGAATATCGGGCTGTGGGCTTTATACTTAGTTTGCTTGTAGTTGTGGGTCTAGAAAGCTTAATTTTATGGCTGCATGAACATAAATAAAAAGGGGTAGAGTGTAAAATGAAAGAGAGATCCATAGAAAAATTCAGCTAGACACAGGTGAGGTCCTAAATTATGTGCAAAACTCATTTAAAGTGTTTTACATATCCCAACTACTTCATATCCATTTACTGTTTTATTCTTAAATTTACTGTTAAATCCTTCTTCTTCACAAATAAAGAAAATTACCTTTCAATGGAGTTCCAGAAGCCCTGTGCCTCTGCCACACCACTGTCACCCCATTCCTTCCCAAGATAATGTTAGGCAAAGGCTGTTGGCAGGGGAAAGGCAGGGATGAGGAAGGTGAGACACTATGAAAACGGACTCTGGTACCTGACACTTGATGTAGAGTGGAGGAAGGAAATCAGAGAAGACTCTAGTTTCATGCTCAGTCTCAGGGAATTATTAGCAAGTAAGTGTGGGTTTGGCAGAAAACATAATACTTAATTTAGACACATGTATAAGCTAGATCCTGTTGACCTGTGGGTTCAAGAAATGTATGTTTGGCACTAATGAGTATCTTTATACATCTTTTCACAAAAATGATAGTTAAAACCATGGAAATATATTTTTAATGTGGTCAAAAGTGATACCACAGTTGTTTTCTGTTCTTTGTTTCAGTTTTAAAACTCTGCTTCAGCAAGATGTGAAAAAAAGAAGAGGCTATGGAAACTCATCTGATTCCAGATATGATGATGGAAGAGGGTATGGCTTTTTAAAATTAATAATAGTTGTTTATTATAATTGCATTACATATTTTGGGTGAAGTTAGACTAGTGGAAGTTAACAGTTAAATTCCATTTCACAAAAAATTAATGAATTACTGTAAATCAAAAATCATGTTGCCTCTGATTTGATAAACAGTTGATTTGGCAAAGCTAAAATATACATTCAACATCCTACGGGAGCCTGGTGTGATGGTGCACACCTATAATCCCAGCAGCTCGGGAGGTTGAAGCTGGGGGATCACAAGTTCAAAGTCAGTCTCAGCAATTTAGCAAGGCTCTAAGCAATTCAGAGAGACCCTGTCTTTTCACAAAATATAAAAAAGGGCTGGGGCTATAGCTCAGTGGTTAAGTAACCCTGAGCTTAATCCCCGGTACCCCCCCCCCAAAAAAAAATCCTATAGGAAAAGTCAAAATTAGAAGATGAAAACTGATGGCTAACATTAAAGATTTCAATTTACAGTATAAATTTCCATCTGCTAATGAAAATCTCAAAAGGTTAGATAGTATGGGCTGGGTTTGTGTTTCCACGTGGTAGAAATCAGCCTGAGTTGCTGGGGGCTTGTTCATCCTAATCCTGGCTTGACTGTTTCCTCACTTGCATTAGGGTCTCTGGTTCCTGTAAGTATTTGAATTTTCAACTCCTGATCCAAATGGTAGTTTCTATTTTAAAGACTCTTTAAGGATCATGTGATGATTGAAAAATGAAAGGGTCTAGTTAAATGTTCAGAAGGAATCCGTTGAAATTATGTCTACTAAACAGTAGATACTAACTTTATCTTTTCTCAGGCCACCAGGAAACCCTCCCCGAAGAATGGGTCGAATCAATCATCTCCAGGGCCCCAGCCCTCCCCCAATGGGTGGTGGATGAGGAAGGTAACTTAAAATCTGAAATTATTTTCTAAGCTTTTATTTTGAAAATGGCTCCTTAGGAATATTTTCTTTAGGAAAACTTAAGTCACTCAACATTTTGTAATTACTCAGACATTGTTTGGGAAAATATTTCTGACTTAACCCTTAGGCAGTTTGTCAACTTTGTTATCAAAATATCTTTTGAGAAAGGTATTATAACCCCATGTAACATGTTGAGCTTTATATAGGTCCAATTGAATAACTGTTAACTAATATTACAATCTTTCTTTTAGGTAAATGTCTGCTCTAAGAAGCAGACAACTAAACGTACACATTCATAGAAGAAGGAAACCATTAAGAAGTGGAGGGCTACCATGCTAGACAAGTGGAGGAATGTGTACGTCTATATAAGGATTGCTCTGTGTCCTCACAGATCAATGAGGTCATGCTGGGAATTCCCTCTGCAGGGATCTGGCCTGACTGACATGCAAGTCCATAAATGCACATGTTTGTCTCATTATCTTTTTTGTATAGTAAAGTATTAATATAGTTTTAATAAGTAAATATTTTTAGGTTGTAAAACTGGTTCCTCATCTTTATATAATTAATCACAAAACACTCTAAACCTGAAGAAAATAAAGGCTGCATATTCAGTGCTTGTGTCCCTTTTTTCAACTGTACACGGTTAATTTGTTCTTGTGTTTATTTCAATAGTATGCATAAAATCTGTGCTCTTGAATTAATTTTTGTCTTTAATATAATTTGTCCCATCATGTCTGATTTGCTATCAGGTATAATTATCAGGGTTCTTAWAAAGCTATTGCCAACAAACCTGAACTTCAAAATGGAGATTTGCTGCCTAATCTTTAAAACCATAGACTTTGATGTTATCTCAACAAATTTGAATTCTATACTACTTCTTAGGATTCTGCCTATTGGCTTTAAATACCATCCGAATACAGATAACTTTCACATTTTTCACTAAGTGGAAAGCTCTATGAGACTAGGAATTTTGTCTTTGCCACAATTCTTTGAACAATGATTACATGTAATAGGTACTGACATTGATTAGTAAAATGAATGATACAGATATTTCTATATCCAATGTATTACAGGCTTTGAAACCAAAGTGATTGGGTTAAAGCTTTTAAGAATAAACATTTATCAATATTTATTTAACCCTGTTTGTCAGGAAATAGGGTTGTAGTAGCGTAAGACACTGTTTTTCAAAGATAAGGAAACAATTATAATACAAGTTTTAGAATAAGGAAAAATATTTTGACAGCTGAATTCTGCTAGGCATCTTTTACACATTTTTTTCTGACAAAATGAGGTAGGTAGGTAGGTGATATTTAAGTTATAAAGATACATGCAAGTGCTCAGTAAGTTTAGTAACTCTACAAGTTGTGTGGCGAGAGAATGGCAGAGACATTGTGTTAAACCTCCACCTGACCATAGTGGGAGAGATCATGGTAGAGGCCACAAAGGTGGTAGCTTAGTGTTACCAAAGGCTTCTGAGCATGTGACCTATGACCGACCCTCTTTTGCCTCCCAGGACTGCTGCTGCAGGACTCCTTCCTCTGGGCTTCTCCCCTCCCCACCAATCTTGATTGCAACTGACATTTAGCTGTCCTGCTCCATACCTAGGTTTATTGTCTTAATGCAGAACATAGCCAGTCAAGGAGTTTGTGTTGAAATCTTGTCTTTGTTATTCATTAACTTATGATTTTCGTTTGGGTCATTTTGTCCCAGTTTACTCACCTACCATGTGCTGAAGGTAACAGGATAAGGCAAAGTCTCTGGTGAAGCTTCTAGTCCAGTGTGAGGCAGTAAACAAGCAGGCAAGATAACGACAGACTAATGCTTCATTTGTACTTCCAAGGAAATAGGAGGATAGGATAACTTGGGAAGGCCTAAGGCGKCATTCGAGTGAACATACACAGGATGATTCTGGGAAAGGCTTGGCATGTCAGAAAAATCAAGTATTGCTAAAAATGCCAAGGAAAATTGGTAGAAAGTGAAATTAGAAGTGTGGCAGGATCTTGATGAAATATGGCCTTAATGATGGTGATCTGTTTCAATTATGTCCAAAGAGTGAAGGGAAACCATGAAAGTATAAAGAATGGGTGTGACATCTTGTTTTTGTTTAGCATAACTCACAAGATTTTACTAAGTGGAGTGCTGGAAACAGTATTGAACTTTTTAAAAATAGTAACACTTGGGCAACTGCAGGACCTACTTGTATGGGGGACAGGGCTGGAAAAGGAGAAGTCTAGTTATTGTACTAAGTATATGAAAAAATGCTCAATATCTTTAGCCATCAGGGAAATGCAAGTCAAAACTGCATTGAGATTCAGTCTCACCCCCATCAGAATGTTTCACCCCAGGCTATGATCAAGAATACAAAAAAAGAGCCCTTGTGGTGGTGCATGCCTGTAATCCCAGAGGCTAGGGAGGCTGAGAGGAGGATCACAAGTTCAAAGCCAGCTTCACCAACTTCGAGGTAAGCAACTCAGTGAGACCCTGTCTCTAAATAAAATACAAAATAGGGCTGGGGATGTGGCTCAGTGGTCGAGTGCTCCTGAGTTCGAGTTCAATTCCCTAGTACCAAAAAAAAAAAAAAAAGAACCAAATACAAAAAAGGATGCTTGTGAGGATAAGGGGAAAAGGAACCCTTACACACTGTTGGTAGGAATGTGAATTATCAGCATGGAGGTACTTCAAAAACCAAAGATAGAACTACGATATGATCCAGTTATACCACTTCTGGGTGTATACTCAAAGGAATTAAATTCAGCACATGCTAGAAATAACTGCGTACCAGTGTTTATTATAGCAAAATTCACAGTAGCCAAGTTATGGAATCAGCTTAGGTGCGTGTCAGTGGATGAAAGAATTTTTTTAAATGTGGCATATTTACACGATGGAGTATTATTCACTCATAAAGAAGCATTTATGCCATTTGCAGAAAAATGAATGGAACTAGAGATTATATTAACTGATATAAGTCAGAAAAGTATGAGGTTTTACCTCATATGGAATCTGGGACAGGGGGATGGACACAAAAATAACAGGGAGACTACTAAAGAGGAAGTGGGTCATGAGGGAAGGGCAGAGTAATGGGAGAGTGGATGTAAGCAAAGTAAGTTATTTGCCTGTATGAAAATGCCACAATGAAACCCATTATTCTGCATAATTAAATTGCACTTATATTTTTTAAAGAGGTTATTGTAGGCTGGGAGTGTAGCTCTGTGGTAGAGGGTTTGCCTAGCTTATCCAAGGCCCAGGGTGGGTAGGGGTTGTTGTCATCCAGGTGAGATGTTGGTACTTTGGGCTAGGTAATGATAGTATAAATGGAGAAGAGGATGAATTCAAGGTATGATAAAGACTGCAGGATTTGCTGATGGTTTGGAAGCGAAAGCTGTGGGCAGTTGAATAATCAAAACAATTTACTGAGCTGGTAAAAGTTAGAGTGGTTTCTCTTGTTTGTTTTTTGGTCTGTGGGATGGGTAATCAAAGAGTTTCATCTTAGCCCAGCCGAGTGGCGCAGGCCTGTAATCCCAGTAGTTTGGGAGGCTGAGGCAGGAGGATTGGGAGTTCAAAGCCAGCTTCAGCAAAAGCAAGGTGTTAAGCAACTCAGTAAGACCCTGTCTCCAAATAAACTACAAAAATAGAGCTGGAGATGTGACTCAGTGGTCAAATGCCTCTGAATTCAATCCCCAGTACCCCCGCCCCCCGCCAAAGTTTTGTTTTAAACATAAATTTAAGTTTGCAATGCTGTGTAGATGTCCAGTTGGAGATAATAGGCCATTGGATAACAATCTAGATCCCAGGGAGAGGTCCAAACTGAAGATACACATTTGGGAATCATATCTATAGTTAAATCCATGAAACGTTATAAAGTCATCCAAGGAGACCTTGCCTTAAAGAACTCCAGTATCAGAACGGATTGAACACGATCAGCGAAATATGAGAACTAGGAGCATGTAAGTTGTCTGAGAAGCCTGGAGAAGGGACACCTGTTAAGACAAAAATGAGACTCTGGGGCTGGGGATATAGTTTAGTTGGTAGCGTGCTTGCCTTGCATGCACAGGGCCTTGGGTTCAAACCCCAGCACCTCACAAAAATAACGTTTTAAAATAAGACTCTGCTTGTCGGCATAACTACGTAAAGCGGTCGAAAACCCCTTATGTTRCTGTCATCCTACCGTGAGAATTAACCACAGCAACATCCACCCAATCTCAGCTCCACCACAGCCCCGCCTTTCCCGCTTTCCCAGAATCCTCCGAGCCGAGGCCCGCGGCGGCCATTTTGATTATGGGCAGCCCTGCGGGAAATTGCGCCTGCGYGGTGGCCTTTCCGCTCTGGAGGTCTAGCTGAGGAAGAGGCTGGTGGGCGTCCGCCGCCACGATGACCCAGGCTGAGAAGGGGGACGCAGAAAACGGGAAGGAGAAGGGCGGGGAGAAGGAGAAGGAGCAGCGCGGCGTGAAGCGGCCCATCGTGCCAGCGCTGGTGCCGGAATCGCTGCAGGAGGTGGGGCGCCGGGGGCAGGACTCAGGACCCCACGCCTAGCCTAGGTCCTCCGCGGCCAGGCCGGGGCTCAGAACGCGGCCGAGGAAGGGAGGCCTGGCGGCCGTTGGAAGGGGTCGGGTTTCCCTGATAGAGGATCATATCGCTAGTGGGTGGTGCCGCGAGGTGGTCGTTTCGCGCCGGTCGCTCGCTGGCTGTGAGGGAACGTGGTGCGCAGCAGAGTCTGGCGGTCCGTGCGCGAGCTCCGAGTTCTTCCTGCCGGCTCCGCCTGGCTCTGAGCCCGGCGTCCCCAGCCCGGAAACTACGACAGTGCTTTCACCAGTCTCCCAAGTTGCTCTGAGGTTTACGTGGCCGCAGGGAGAGTTTAGCACCCGGCTGGCTCACAGGGAGCTGCAGCTGATGATTGTTACATGTTCARGTATTTTCCATTGTTAGCAAAGATTCTTCAAACTTCAAAGCAAGGAAAAGGTAGATTTTTTTCTCTAAAATAGAGATTAAGACCTGCCTGTTCAGAAGATAACAAGATTAAGTCAGACTTACCAGGAAAAACAAATTTGCATTAGCTTGGCATGAGAGGATCTTTATTGTACATTTGCAAGCACTTTATTCATCAGTGAAGAAAACACCACCTTCTCATAGGAAAACTGGAAAAGATAATGCACAATTCACAAAAGAAATAGGAGGCATTAAATGCTCAGAATTTCACGTTGTCATCTGAGCCAACTTCCTCACCAATGGGTGGGTTAGGACAGTTGTAAATGCCTAGCAGAGTTCGTGGCACATGGGAAGCCCTCGGGTGATTATTACTGTTGCAGAAGCCTGGTTTCTCCAGTTGAAGGAGCAGGCTAGGTGGTCTGTATTGGCCTTGCCTGTTCTTACTCCCTGTCATTCTCCCACTTTATACAGGAGCCTATTCCTAGCAGAGCTTGCTGTTGTGGGGGGGCAGCAGATAACAGAACATGGTGTGGAATGGGCTAGTACAGAGGATTATACAGCAGACAGTAGGCACTTCCTTCTGCCCTGACAGGGCAGGTTTCTCCAAAGGAGGTAACATCTGGACTGAGACCTGAAGATAATTAGGAGTTAGCAGGGGAAGTTCAGAAAGGGAAGGAGAACAGCACGGAAGACACTTGGGCCTAGAGAGGATAGGCAGTAAATCAGGATGTCTGGAATTGAGGAAGATAGCAGAAGCCATATTGTGAGGATCATATAAGCTGGAGTCTGGCATCTTCTGAAGGCAATGGAGAACTTTGGAAGGTTTCCTGTATTAAGTGCTTCTCTCCATGCTTCCTATGGCTGGGCTGCAAGATTAATGATTAATTTGTTTCATCCTCACATGAGTGCTTGAGATAGGAATGTAATCAGAGCAAAGAARTAGCTTCTGAATTTGCAGCCAGATGAATCCTAAGCCTGGGCCCTTAAGCACTACAGCAGTCAGTGTGTGTAGCACCCTTTAGTTTTTCCATGTTCTCTGTGATACCTACCTATATTGTTTAATGTAGTAAGGTTTGTTAAAAAACAAGACTTAATCCAGAGAAATAATGTGTGGAATGTATCCATTTTTTAATACATTAAATATGTTGATTACCAAAAAATATTTGTCCACACTCTATGAAGCTGCATTTTCTACTCCAGAGCTTCCCAGTCAAYGTGCTGCAGATTGTAAGCTGTTAATGAGGTACAGGTGTCCCTAATGGTGGGCAGCCTCATCTGTTTACCCCAATATGTTGGACAAATGTCTGCCTTACACAGAATAGCTTGGGAAAGTACGACTCAACACCTTGCTTCTTAAGAATGATGCCGTTGTGATTCAACAAATAACCTCCCAGGCTCCTGTCACCCATATGCTGGGATATAGATTAGTGAACAGGACAGGTGTCCCTTCTCATGGAAAGTTTATTGTATGTTGAGAGAGCAAACAATAGTTACAGAAGTGACAATGTTATAAAGGAAGGAATAACATAAGGTTGCTGGGGATGTGGGCAGCAAATCTTGTCTGATGACATTTAACTTCAGACCTGAAGGAGGAGTAACACTTAGAGGCGGGAGAGAACATTTCAAGCAAAGGAGTTGTCTGTTTGAAGGCTCCAAAGTCAGTGAGTTAAGAATTCAAGAGGAACCAGAATTGATGGTGCACACCTGTAACTCCAGCTACTTGGGAGGCCGAGGCAGGAGGTTTGTGTTTTTGAGGCCAGCCTGGCAACATAACAAGACCCCATCTAAAAAAGGAATATAGATTAAGATTAAAGAGGTTAAAATGAAAGTGGTTCTGGAGTGAAGCTAGAGAATTAGGCAGAGGTTCTGAACTTATTGACAATCCACAAAACTGTTTTGAAGGAAGACGGGTAAGAAGACAACTATAGCTTGATGTCAGGGTAAAATAGGTACTAAAGAGTCAGGCTGGAATTGCAATTCTTAACTAAGGCATCCCTGTTGTGAAAAAGATTGTCAGTCCCTTCTCTCATTCCCTACTGAAACTTGGAACCTTCAACAAGTTCATGTAGCAGAAGTTCTCCCAAGTAATTCTGTATTCTGCCCTCTTCAGATTTATTGAGCTGAAATGATTGTCATGTAAAAGTAAAGCCCACAGTTATTGCCACAGTCCTGGATTTGTGCTGCTTTGTCAGTCCTTGTTCACCATTATCCAAGGATGGATTGTGAATTGCAGCAAAGTTTTCTGATTTGTGAGGATAGCTCTTGCTATGTCAGGTAAATAATACAGAACCAACAAGGGTAACCTTATTTTAAAAATAATAACCAAAATACATTTGGTGGACACATTTTGAAGTGATTAACATGTAAAGTCTTAGTTTCCGGCATTATAAAGTAGTAATTCCATTAATTCCTTCTCTGACCCCTTCCATCAAACCTAAGTAATTTTTATTAGTCACCTCAGGAGCTTTTTAAAATTGTCAGTTCCTAGGTGTTCTCCCTGGAGTTTCTGAATCAGAAAACTTAGGACTTTTTTTTTTTTTAACCTTAACAAATGTTTTAGGTCATTCATATGGATCTTAGAACATAGTATTCTCCATATTCTTCCACACTCTATACCTTGTTTAATTGTCTTCCTTAGTAATTAGGTGGGTGGTAGAAACTTCATCCTGGTCATCATCATACCCATAGTCTCTGGCACATAATCACTCAGTATTTATGTGTTAATTTATGTTGGATAATTTTGTTTAAGCAAATATTTGTTTAGCTGTATGCACTCTGAGTCAGATCAAGAGCATACAGATACAAAAAGATGGAGAGCAGTAACTGGATATTTCTCAACTCCTCTACTGAATTATTTTGATACTCTTTGAGTCCAATAGTCTTTACAGGAAACTTAGTTTGTTACCAATGGATTGATTAACTTACACCTGTATATTATTTACTGAGATCACACGCCTGTGTTTCACATTTGCAGCAAATCCAGAGCAACTTCATTGTTGTAATACATCCAGGTTCAACAACTTTGAGAATTGGTCGAGCCACAGACACACTCCCTGCCAGCATTCCTCATGTCATTGCAAGAAGACACAAACAACAAGGGCAGCCCCTATACAAGGACAACTGGCTCTTAAGGGAAGGACTAAATGTAAGTCAAAATAGTGGACCTGGAGAGAAAGCTCAAGGTTGTTTCCTTGTGAGGGCTTAGACACCCAAGAGTATCTGGGAATCTTGAACAAACATCCTCATAGCTTTACTGTGTTTTAAAATAATAACAACTGTCATTTTTTATCTGAACTGTTGATTTAGATTGTGAAGAATTAGTTACAACAAAAATAAATTCAGTTTAACTGATTAAGATTAATTGGATATTTATAAAGGTGATCTTTAATGGAAGTTATAGAATTGTCACTTAAAATGATATGGGTTTTTATTAACTGATAACTGTATTTTCCAGACACTTATACTTTAAATCCAACTCATATTTTAAAACCATTAGCAAATTGAACTGCTATGGCCAACCACTTACTATAGTCTTAGATCAAATTATAATTTCAAGACAAAAAAAAATAATTTTCCTGAAGTAAGCATTCACTCAGTCTTATTTTGCAGATGGTAATTATTAGAAAAAAAATTGTGTTAGCTGTTAAATCTGCATATTGCATCATGATCCACTTCTAGCTTTCAAGTTATAAGTTAAGGACAGTTTTAGAAATTTAAATTTTTGTAATTTAGAATTCTCTTGTTTAGTATAACTAGCAGACTACTGAAGTCCAGTTATAAATTTAATTATAACTCGCCCATGTAAGAGTCCACAAAATCTTAGTAACTTGTATATTTGGTTAATCAAAATACAATATGTAGAAGGAATGTGACATTGTTACAAAATTGAAGTGAGAAATACAGATGTATGGAAGAATCTCTGAAATACTTTGTAAACATGAAGTAGATGTGCTTTGATTAGTGCTGTGAAAAATTTTAACAATCAAAAGTCTCTTGAGGGTATAAATTTTTGCTAATATTTAGGGTTTGGTCAGAGTTTCATTTTTGACTTTTTTATTTACAATAAAAGATTACTTGGAATCCTGTAAATTACTGCAAATGACAGAGATTAAGGAAATGCTGTTTGTTGATGAGGGAGTAGTTCCTAATATTAGATTAAATAGTAGCTTTCTCTTTTCACTAAGTCCTTTATTCTGATCATCTTTCAATTTTTTCCCCTCAGAAACCTGAAAGTAATGAACAAAGACAAAATGGCCTTAAAATGGTGGATCAAGCAATATGGTCTAAAAAAATGTCAAATGGCACAAGACGAATTCCTGTGTCTCCTGAACAGGTTAGTCAACCTTTTCTTCAGATTTATTCTTTCCCACTTTTATTATCATATGTCTCTCAATGGGGACATATTATTATATGTCTCTCAATGTGGGCTATTGTGCAAATAACAGGGTGGACTCACACAAACCTAGATGATCTAGCTGCCTATACACTTATGCCATATGGGATAGCTTATTGCTCCCAGGCCATAAACCTGTGTAGCATGTTATTGTATTGAATACTATAGGCAGTTGTAATGCAATGGAAGGTATATGTGTATCTAAACATAAAAAGTACGTAAAAATACAGAATAAAAGATAAAAGTATACCCGTGTAGGGTATTTATCATAAACAGAGTTTGCATAACTGGAAGTCTCCCTGGGTGAGACAGTGAGTGGTGAGAATGAAGGCCTAGGATGTCACTGTACACTACTGTACACTTTATAAACATTGTATACATAGGCAACACTTAAATTTTTTTTTTTTCAGAAACAAATTTAGCTTTACTAAAACCTTTAAAAAACAAAAAACAGTACTGGAGATTGAACCCAGAAGTGCTCTACCACTGAGCTACATCTCAGCTCATACACACACACATAATTTTTTCTTTTTGAGACACGGTTTCACCAACTTGCCCAGGTTAGCCTCAAACTTGCAGTTCTTCTATCTTAGCCTCCCAATACCTGGGGTTATAGGTGTGCAGCTCCATACTTAGCCACTTTGCTGTAACTTCTTCATTTTTTTAATAATACAGCTTAAGATACAAACATGGTGCAGATGTATAAAAATTTTCTTTAAACCCTTATCTATGTTTTTTTCTATTTAAATTTTTTTTTCTTTTAAACTTTTCTTGGTTAAAATCTTAGACACACAGACACACACACCACGTTAAGCCAACACGGGGTAAGGATCATCAGTATTACTGTCTTCTACCCCCACATCTTATTCCACTGGGAGGACTTCATGGGTAATAACACATGGAACTATGATAACAGTGTCTTTTCCTGGAATATCTCCTGAAGGACCCTGAGAATCTTTTACAGTTAACTTTTATAAATAAATATAAAATATATGTACTATATACATATAAAATAATATTTTATATTAAATATTTTATACACATATGGAATATACTCTATAAAAGAATGGTATAAATATATAAACCATTAACATAGTTTATTATGAATATCAAGTTTAAGTACTATACCTAATTGTACATGTTTTACTTTTGTGTGACTGGAAGAGCAGTACATTTGTTTATACCAGCATCACCACAAATGAGTAATGTCATGAGTTAGTAGGTAGTTGGAATTTTTCAGCTCCATTATCATGTTATGGGTCCACTGTCTTATATGTGGCCTATCATTGACCGAAATATCATTATGTGGCATATGACTGTAATACCATTCACACGTTTTCCCTTTTATTCTGCAAATACAAGATGAGATTTCCTTTAAAAAGAAAGAAACTCCTTTCTTAACTGTATATTGAATACTAGAATACTTGAATCAGTGTCACAAATGCTTAGGCAAGCCAACTAACTTATAAGGTAGTTTATTAAGGCAAGTTTATAAAAGTTTATATTTTACTGGAGAGTATATAATCTAGGATCTTGGTAGGAAGCTGTATTCTTAACTGTATTCTTCAATTTAATATAAACCAATGCAGACATGAGTTAGATTTACATATAGATTTATATTCATCTTTAAGCAGTATATAGTTTTAATTTTGGACTGTCTATAAATAACAAAATAGGTGTAAAAATCATGGGAAAAACCAAGATTGTGGAAAAGGACAAGAAAATCTTTCGGTGACTAGTGAATATTTTCCCCAGTATTTTGGATCTGTGATTAAAATTGATCTGTGAATGAGAGAAACTAAAGGGATTCTTAATGCTGCCCTCCTCCCCTTCTTGTGTAAATTCAACTAACTTTCTTTCTTTCTTTTTTTTTTTTTAGGCACGTTCTTACAACAAACAAATGCGGCCTGCAATTTTAGATCACTGTTCTGGAAATAAGTGGACAAACACGTCTCATCACCCTGAGTATTTGGTAGGAGAAGAGGTAAGAAATGTCTTTACAATGAAATGAAAAAAGAAAAAACGTGATCTTTCTCTTAAAATCCACTTTGCTACCAAGTTCTGATTGTTTCTTAACATTTGGTTATTCTGCTTTGAGGATCAGATATTCACACTGATACCTGGGTTGTTAAATATTTCACATTCAACATCTAAAACATTCAGAAATTGTTGTTCCTAGTATTCCCCCCCGCCCCCCCAGTGCTGGAGATTGAACTCAGGACCTCAGGCGTGCTAGGCAAGTGCTGCTGAGCTACATTCCCCAGCTCCTCATTCAGGAATGTTAATATTAATTCTGGTCTTAGTTTTTTGACTCCAGGAGAAGAGTTTAAAATATACCTCTTTCCTTCCACGCCTTTTCTAGGCCTTGTATGTTAATCCATTGGATTGTTACAATATCCATTGGCCTATCAGAAGAGGCCAGTTAAATATTCATCCGGGACCTGGGGGCTCCCTTACAGCTGTTCTAGCAGATATTGAAGTAATATGGTCTCATGCAATACAAAAGTATTTGGAAATCCCACTGAAAGACTTAAAGGTAAGCTAAAATTCCCAGTAAATTTGGATTGTCTTAAAGATTCTTGGTCAACACAAATAGACTTTACCAAGTTGTTTGTGGTACAGTGTGCTTCTTGAAGCATTCTCATCCTTAGGGCGGTGGTCTTCCTCAGTTAGTTCCTTTCTGATGACTTATTTTTATTGTTTTACTTTGGGGTGTCTCAGTGCTGTTTGGAAGTCAGCAAGCTTGCTCATGTTTATGTTTTCTGTCTCTACTCAGACACATTAGTTATCTTTCATTTTACAAATCTGAGATGATTCCAAGTGTGGTGGGGGGAGACTTTGAGTTTCATGAAGAAACAGAAAATGTTAAAGGATGGCACATGTGTTCAAGTTTTTCCTCTGAGCCATTAGCCGTAACTGCTGCTCCTGTGTAGGGAAGCCTCCATAAGGACAGGTGTGGTGGGATTGGACTTGACTGGATGTGTTAAYGCTTCCACCTTTTTTTCTTTGTTCTTTTTAGTATTATAGATGTATCCTATTAATTCCTGATATCTATAATAAACAGCATGTGAAAGAACTAGTGAATATGATACTGATGAAGATGGGTTTTTCAGGTATGTGTGTTATTCTAATGAGACTTATTTACAAATTTTTTAAAATTTTTATTTATCTAATTACTTGTGGTACTAGAGTTCAAACCCTGTATTTCATGCATGCTAGGGAAGTACTGTACCACTGAGCTACAGCCCTAGCCCTGCAGTGAGCCCTACTTGAAATGAAATTGTTCTTTTTTCAGTGGCAAAGTTAATCTAATTCATTGATTCATTTAAATGCTTATTCTGAAAAGATTAATGCAGATACATTYCTAAAAGTTTCTAGGCTCCTGACTTTAGTTAATTGTTTTTACAATCTGTACTGCTCTCTAGCTGATTGGTCCTCTGCTTTTTGTTTCTTAGGGATTGTAGTCCATCAGGAGTCTGTCTGTGCTACCTTTGGAAGTGGCTTAAGCAGCACATGTATTGTAGATGTTGGGGACCAGAAGACAAGCGTGTGCTGTGTGGAGGATGGGGTGTCTCATCGGAACACGCGGTAAGGAACTTGTGAGATGATGTTTCCTATTCCCTCTCCCTTCAAAGTCTGTTCATATCATTAGGGTTTAGAAATGATTTTTATAAGAAATTATATATTTAAAAGTCAGCATAGGAAACCAGCACAATTGTGGGAGTATAAATTCTAGCAAGACTAAAAACAAATGATTGCCCTTATTGGAACTTTCTAGTGTGAATCCATGTCAATAATTCCTGAAAGTCCTGGCATGTATTGTATGCTTTCCCATAGAGGAAGTGTGAATGTTAACTTCATTTCTTTTACTGTGGCCTGCCATAGAAAAGCTAATCACACCCTAACAGCAAAGGATGGCTTTTTTCCCGTGGTGTCATCAGTGGTAACAAGTTAATAAAATAAATGGCAGGAGCACGTTTGCTGCATGTCCTTCCTAAGACATCTTTTTGCAGGTAAAGCCACTTGGGTAGTACAGGAATGGATTCTGTGCATCATTTTGTGGTCCTGAGACAGCTTTCTTCTGTCCCTTACTTTAGGTAGATTAAGTCTCAAGTACAGAAGAAATGAATATAAACAAGATTCAAGGTGGTCATGAAAAGGTTAATCTACTGCCTCCAATCCCAATTTAAAGACATTCTAAAACCCAATATGAGGGCTGGGGTTGTAGCTCAGTAGTAGAGTGCTTGCCTAGCACATGTGAGGCTGTGGGTTTGATCCTTAGCACCACATAAAAAAATAAATAAAGGTTTTTTGTTTTTTTTTCTTTTTGACATTGTTTTTGTTTATTTTATGCTCTCGTATAGCTCCGTTGTAAAAAGTATTTTTCATCACTTTTCCTTTATTCATCCCAATTCATTAAAACAGTTGCATCTAATTACTAAAAACAAGATATTTCTGTGCAAATACATTCATGTACATACACTACATAGAAAATATAACTGATTTTTCTGAACAGAGTAATTATAAAAACAAATCATTGACCATCAGGAAAAAAAATCTTTGGGAAACTAAAAAGAACTGATTACAATAATATATAGATGTAATAAAATGTAAACTGTCTAAAAACTATAATTGGCAATTGGATAGAGTCATTATGTAAATGAAACATAACCAAACAGTTTTTTTTACTTTAAAAAAAAWTTTTTTWAAATTTATGTATGACAGTGGAATGCATTACAATTCTTATTACATATATGGAGCACARTTTTTCATATCTGGTTGTATACAAAGTATATTCACACCAATTCATGTCTTTATACATGTACTTTGGATAATAATGACCATCACATTCCACCATCATTTCTAAAAATGAAGGTATTGTGTCCATCTACAACTAAAAAGTGTGTGTGTGTGTTTTGTGTGTGTGTGTGTGTATAAATAAATAAATAGATAAAGCCCAGTATGAGCTAGCGTGGCTCTGCCATTGTTGTTCTCAAAGTATGGAGAAAATACTGGACCCAGTTCTATTACCATTAAAATAATTTTACAGTGGTCTTCTTAAGTTGTAGAAACTTTCAGTTAGTGAACAGTTTTCCCTGAGTCTTTCCCTCATAAGTTTGTCTTATGTTGTTACCTCTGCATGCTTGTGAGTGCAGCCAGCCAAACAACTGTGATCTATTGAAAGTCCATTGACTTGAAAATGAGTTGGATTTAATAATGTATATTCTGTGTTTTGAAAACTTTTTGCAAACAGCAAAAAGCATGTTCATATCATTAGGGTTTAGAAATGACTGCTTCCAGGTGCCCTGTCAACTGGTTTTGGCTAAAGTTCCCTTTGTCCCTTCCACTATCCATTCCATTCTTCCATTCAGTTCTTACAGTAAACATTTGAAAATTTTTGTGTTGTACTATGCCTAAAGGAGTTCTTGAAGCACTCTTTGCACCTTCCTAACTCACAGATTTAACAGTCTGCCCTTTTAACTTTAGGCTTTGTCTGGCCTATGGAGGATCTGACGTGTCAAGATGTTTTTATTGGCTCATGCAGCGAGCTGGATTCCCTTACAGAGAATGCCAGTTAACAAATAAAATGGATTGCCTTCTTCTGCAGCACCTTAAAGAAACTTTTTGTCATTTAGACCAGGTGGGAACAAAATATTACCTATTATTTTTTTGTTTCTAGAGAAAATGTAATATTTAAAAGGTATTTTAAGATTAATTATACTGCTCTTTTAACCCAATTAATAAAGCCTAGAAGCTTTGCTCTCAAGGGGGTGAGAGCTTTTTGATATGGTCAAGATAGTGAGGTGCTCTCTTGAACCCAGAATGCACAGCTTGTTTCTCAGGAGAATTTAGCACATTTTTCTCTGAAGGTGTCTAATCACTGATAAGAATGAAGATAAAATTTTAGGTATAATAAAAGTAACAAAAATACATAGATGTGGACATTTTTATTAAATTTTAAAGCACTTTCTTAGTATTGTGAAGAGTTAACCTTTAAATCATATATCTATATGTGTATATATAATATATGCATACATAGATATGGGTTGGCTACCTTTTTTACTTTTTGTATTTGACTTTTTTTCCTCTACTTTTTCAGATAATAGAATTCTAAGTTTTAAGACTCTAAGAAACATAAAAAGGGTCTAGATATATATTAATTGAGAGAATTTGCTTATTGAGGTCACTCTTTGTATTAATGTTTATCAAAAATGAAAACTGCAGATGATATACATTTCAGAAGTGTTAAATAGGAAAGCAAAGAACAACTGAATTCTTGGATTTTTTTTTTTTTTTTTTTTTTGGTACCTGGGATTTAACCCAGGGGTGTTTAACCACTGAGCCACATCCCCAACCCCTTTTTAATTCCTTTTATTTGAGACAGGGTCTTGCAAAGGTGCTTAGGGTCTCGCTAAGTTGCTGAGGTTGCTTTTGAATTTGCCAGGCATTTGCCCCCACACCCAGTTTGAACTTTTTTTATTAAGTATAGTGAGAGTGGTACAGAGTTGTAGGGTGGCCTTTTTATTGTAAAATTCAGATGATGGAGAGGCTTATGCATAATTTGAGGAGTTTACATGCATTCTTACTGATTTACTGACAGCATCTTTTCCTGGAATCAGGACATCTCTGGGCTTCAGGACCATGAGTTTCAGATTCGCCATCCAGATTCTCCTGCCTTGCTTTACCAGTTTCGGTTAGGAGATGAAAAACTCCAGGTAACCCCATAGATGTGTATATCTTGGGTAAAAATAAATCTATCCAGGCTCAATCAATCACACTGGGAGAATGTGCACTTGCTGGGAACATGGTGAGTTTGCTAGTTGGAAGTTGGAGGCAGTATCTTTCTGATTCTTCTTTTCTTTTCATGCTCAGGCTCCAATGGCTTTGTTTTACCCCGCAACTTTTGGAATTGTTGGACAGAAAATGACAACTTTGCAGCACAGATCCCAGGGTGATCCTGAGGATCCTCATGATGAGCATTATCTACTGGCTACACAGAGCAAGCAAGAACAGGTTCATAGTAATTCTGGTGGGAGAAGAGACAATTTTGACCCTGCAGGAGAAGTTTGCCCAGAATTAATAGATCACTGATCATTTATTTCGGTCTTCAACAGAAACCCTGATRCTGCTTGTAGAACTAGAGATGAAGTGTGAATTTTGTTTTGTCTTTTACAGTATTGGAGGTTGACCCCAGGGCCTTCAACAGGCTAGACAAATGCTCTACAACTGAGCTATATCCCTATCCCTTTTTTATTTTTTATTTTGAGATAGAATTTCACAGAGTTGCCCAGCCTTGCCTCAAACTGGCAATCTTCCTGCCTCAACCTTCTGAGTAGCTGGGATTACAATGCCTGATTAAAGTCTGAATTTAAAATCCAGATGACAGACTTCTTTATTCAGACATTAATTCAGTTTTCTGAATGCCATGCCATGTACTTAAAAAGTTAATGAAAACACTTTTCTTTTGCCATAATATTATTTACTTACATTATCTGCTACTAAATATTGATTCAGTAGTATTTTCAGTAGCATCTCACCTACTTTATAATTAATTACATTGTAAAAGGTATATGGCATGGGCAAAGAGCTGAATTTTTTTGTTCAAAACTAGTTTCAATAATAAGAGGTCTGCTGTAGGAGCATAAAATGAAGCTCTTACCTGCTAATGAAACATCAGAGCTCATGATGAAAAATAGATGAAAACTATAAACCTTTTCTAGTCTTTGTTCCTGCCCCATAGGCAAATGTGAAGCAGTAGATAGAACTTAAAAATGAGGATTTTCTAGTAGCCATTGGCCCATGAATCCTATTGAAATATTTCACTTCAGGAAAAATGTTATCAGTACTAACATTTTAATATCAAAATCCACCCAGTGGTAGACCCACACTGAGTCCTACAGAGACTGCTTTGGCTTTAGAGTGTGCTCACTCCTCACTCCTAGGTTATCTTGGGATTGGGTGCTGGGCAGTATGTGTATAACTTGCTGGCTTTTGTTTCATAATGGGGCATGATAGGCAGGGAAGGGTGGGATCTAGCTAGACAATATCAACAGTGTTCTGTTATGGTCATACCATCTACTTGATTGTCCTTTTGATTTATAGTCTGCAAAAGCTACTGCTGACCGAAAATCAGCATCCAAACCCATTGGATTTGAAGGAGATCTTCGTGGCCAGTCCTCTGATCTTCCAGAAAGACTCCATTCTCAGGAGGTGGATTTAGGATCCTCTCAGGGAGACTGCCTGATGGCTGGCAATGACTCCGAGGAGGCCCTCACTGCACTGATGTCCAGGAAAACTGCCATCTCACTGTTTGAAGGGAAAGCCCTGGGCCTTGACAAAGCCATCCTGCATAGCATAGACTGCTGTTGTAAGCACATTTGGGGACACCAGAAATAACAAATAAATTGGTTCAATTTAGGGTATATTTGTGCAGTGTATCATGGTCATTCAGAAACTATCGAGCACCTACTCTGTCCTTGCTTTGCCAGGTGTTAGGAGTACAGTATTGAAATAGAATAATTGGTTCTTGGCCTTATTGATTGTATAGCATAGGGAGAATAACATAATTGCATAAATATGAAATTATAATTGTGGTGGGTGCTGCAAAGTTGAACTATAGGGTCCTAAGAGCTCCTGATTTAGAGATATAATAAAAGAGTTTTACTTACGCTGGGGAAGGTTTGGAGGGTGGGCAGCAGGGAATGCTTTCTTGAAGAGCCATGTGAGAGATCTCAGGTGAGARCAGATTGTTAGACAAACAGGGTGACATTCCAGGCAGAGGAAGAAAGCTGCAAAGACTGATGTGGGAAGCAGAGTGTGGGAATGAGGCTGGAGAGTAGGTGAGTACCACACCACACCGGACCTCATGGTCCACCTTGAAGGGTTTGGTCTTAATCCTTTGAGTAACAAGGCATGAAGGATGGGGTGGCGGCATGCTYAGATTTGTGTTTTACAAGGTTCCTCTGGCTGTGTGGGTTTAAGAGTGGTCTAAAGGGAGATCTTTGAGGAGGTTATTGCAGTTGATCAAGCAAGAGATGTTTGTGGCTTGGCCTAGTGGTGGTGGTGGTAAGTGGAAGGGATATCTATGTCTTTTCAGCATCTGATGATACCAAAAAGAAGATGTACAGCTCCATCCTGGTAGTGGGAGGTGGTTTGATGTTTCATAAAGCTCAAGAATTTCTACAGCACAGAATTCTCAACAAAATGCCACCTTCGTTCAGGCGAATTATTGAGAATGTGGATGTAATTACAAGGCCTAAGGTGTGTTGTTTCATGGTGCAAATTGAACTGTATGCAAATGAAACCAGCAGTGGTTATTTCTAAGTGGACAGTTAAAACCTGGGAGGTTTGGGCTTGTGTCAGGCGAGGTTGTAAGAGTATGAGGAAGTGCAAAAATTACTCTTGAGTGTGGCCAGATGTGGCAGAAGGAGCTCTGGACTAGGTGACTAAATTCCTGGTTCTGGCCCTTGCTGCACCTGACTTCCACCTTTGTGAGAGAATCAGGTGGGTTGAGAACACTGTTCTCTCATACCCTGACAGCCTCTTATAGTCAAGAACTATTGCTGTCCCTGGACTAGAAAGATCTTTAAAAATCTTTTTGGTTTGAACTATCTTGAAAAGAAGTATAAACCCAGGAATTTTGAAATACATTGTGTCTGAATTTCATTAAATGTAAACCCAGGAATTTAGAAATATATCATGTTTGTATTAAATCTCACTACAGTTCCTGGTGATATTATTTTCTTTTACTTCTGAGGGAAGGATTGTGGGAATGTATTTATTCCACTCACATATCAAAATTATTTTGTTATATATGTTCCTGCTTAAAGGCCTGTTGTGGAATAGTAGTGAAGAGTAGCATGTTCAATAGTAAAAATTACAAGTGTTCTCTTGTCAGAGAGGTCTTAGTTGTCCATGAGTCCCGCTGTCTTAATATGGGTAGAAGATCTGGCTTCTTAGGACATGGACTCAGCAGGAATCCTTCCCAGATTAARGTAAATGAAGTATACATCTTGTCTGCTTATACTGAAACAGTTCTATCACTTGTCTAGGACATGGATCCTCGGCTGATTGCATGGAAAGGAGGGGCAGTGTTGGCATGTTTGGATACAACTCAGGAACTGTGGATTTATCAGCGAGAATGGCAGCGTTTTGGTGTCCGCATGTTACGAGAGCGAGCTGCTTTCGTGTGGTGAAATGGGGAGGAAAAGTAGCTGTTGAAGACCAAAACAAGTCTCTTGGTATAAAGAATATGTATGTATGTATTTTAATTTATTGACCTAGATGCTTAATTTTCAAGGAAAAGAAATAAATTTCAGTTTTATGTTCATGATGACATTGGTTTGAAATTATAATCTTTTGTAGACAGGTCATTTAAGAATAAATATGAACTCTTTAATTGTAGCTCTCTGCCCCTTTCTCAGGGCTTCGCAGTGATATAAAATGTTGCTGTTGAACTTTCTTTTAYGGGGCGAATAACTTTTTGTTGACCTCTGAGCATTGTCAGCCATACCGATGTGACTTGTGAGAAGGGCCCATTTGTGCCATTTCCCTCTTATCTAGCATAGTATAGGTGTCTTGGGTTCTGTGCACATGACTCATGTATTCTTGGAATTCTAAATACAAAAAAAGTAGTTTTGGGGGTTTTTTCAATTTTCTGYGGGATTACAAAAAAATGATAGGAACCCATTCAGTTCTAGATTTCTAGAGACAACGATTTAAGGCTTTACTGGCTAGATGTTGTCATCAGACATGCTGTAGGGTGGGTTAAAGAAAACTGTTATAAGAGCAAGACAACAGCTAAAAGGGACATCTTTCCTTCTTAAAGCTATATAGAARTGATTTGGATAAAATTTAGAGTTGTTAGCTTGTGCTGTATAATATGGTAACTGTCAAGCCCCCAGTTTTCCTTTATTTGAAGAACCAGGTGCAAGCTTTTGGAGATTTCTATGTTCAGTATGACCAGTTGCCCTTAACCTGTGAGCACTCTGGAGCAAAATTAAAATAATATAGTCATTAGCCCTAGTGGTCCAGGCCCTGAGTATGACTTCTTTGAGAAGGTGTCTCAGTGGAGACAGGAGCCAGTAGTACCTGGAACTCAAGAGACCTGGCAGGAGGGAGAGAATGCCTAACCCCAGCTGTTAGGTGCCTGTTCTTGTCACCACTATGACCAGGACTGCAGATGTGGGGAGAGACAAAATCAGGGAAAGGTAAGAGATGGAGGTAAGGATGTAATATAGAAAGAAGTCTAAGGCAGGAAGAAATGTGGTACTGAGGCATTTTGCACAGATAAGCATAACCTGTGTAACTCCATCAGTAGATTAGGAATAGAAGAGTCCACAAATACATCAAAATAATTTTAACTTGCTAATACTATTTGGGATGTATGATTTCAACTTGAAAATTATCTTTTACAAATTTATACAATATTGATTTTATGTTTCTGGGTTGTTTCAACACAATTTAGTATCAACTGCCTATTTCAGAAGTATATAGTTGTTTCTAATAGTTCTTCACATAACAGCATATCTCTTTTATAATGGGTATATGCTGATTTAGAGGAAGTTGATTACTAGTCCAAGTTTTGATGTGAGCCATATCCATCTCCTCTTACCAGCACTTTGATAGGCATTGTGAAAACTGTCATGACAAATAAATGAGCCTTGCCACATTAAACATACTGCTTCAGCCATTATTACTAARTATCCGCTTATGAAGCTGGATATGGTGAGTTCTCACTTTATGCTTCTTTATTTGGGTTTTTATTTTATCCTTAAGACAACTATTAGGAGGAGGAAATGGTCTCTTAAGACTGTTCTGCAAATGCACACATTTTAATAGTCATCCATCTGAAATTGACCCCCATTCCAGAGCAGATTCATTTTTACACTGTATAAGTATTCCTGGGAAAATACATCTAATAGAAATGTATTTTTGTGAGCTCTGTATTAAGAAAAAGATGCTTTTAGGAAAGAATTGGAAGACTTTAAATATTTTACCTCTTTATGTTCTATAATGCTGATAGGCTAAAAGTTACCCCTCAATGTTATCTTTTTATAAGTAAGTTGCAATAATTTACCTAAGTAAAAAAAACTAAGAAGTASTTTTGTTTTAAACATGAAAAATTATGTAATAACAGGAACTGAAAACTCTTGATAGTGATCTCTAATAGGTAACTTTGGGCAAAAGTAGACATTAGGTTTACAGGAGTATAATTTGGTATTCATTTAACAGGCACTTGCACAGGAGTCCAGACATGAATCTAGTTTGGAGAGAGAAGGTCCCAAGCAAATACCAAACTTTACAGTTGATACAAATTTGGTTGGCTAAGATGGGCCCAGTTTTATTATTCCCAACTTTTACTATCTTAAAGGTAAAGATTTCTGTTGGGCGTGGTGGTGCATGCCTGTAATCCCAGCAGCTTGGGAGTCTGAGACAGGAGAATTTTAAGTTCAAAGCCAGCCTCAGCAAGACCCTGTGTCAAAATATAAAATAAAAAGGACTGGGGATGTGGCTCCAAAAGAATTTAAAAAAAAAAAAAAGGATTTCTGTGTGTAATAGAGGGTTTTTCTCCAAGAAAACTACTGAATTAATGAGAGCTTCTTAAATTTAGTATTCATTAATTGAACCTAGAATGTTACAGAACTAAACACTTCTACCAAYAGTTCAAGGCATGGGTTATTCAAGATTGGACTTTTGGTTGGAAGATGGCTTAAGCACAGTATTATCAGAATGATTATAATTTTCAGTTATAACTATCCTTGATTTGATGGTATACAATTGACTTGGCTTTAATTACAAATTTAGTCTCAGTTCGTTAATGTTCTAATAGTGGCATTTGTAAAAATTTTTATCAGCATAACATTTGTTTTATTTTTTTAGTTGTAGATGGACACACCTTTATTTTATTGATTTATTTTTATGTGGTGCTGAGGATGAAACCTAGTGCCTCATGTGTGTGAGGTAAGCTCTCCACCACTGAGCTAAAACCCCAAACGAGCATAACATTTTTAATGACTAATCTATGACCTGTATGTTCAGTTTTGATTCTCTCTATTCTGGTTCTAAAACAAGTGTATATATAGCCATCCCTATCAGTAGCCTGGGTAGTAAATTTCAGGKTCATCACAGAGCTCTCTCCAAAACTGGTTGGGTAGGAAGGCTTTGTAGTCTTGCTCTTCTCTTAGGCGGGCTACAAGGGGGAACAGCTGCTGTGGCAGACTTGTGACCATTTCCCCACTGACATGTGCGGTGTGGCACAGAGAAGTTGTGTTTGGAGAGCCGCGGCATCCTTCATGAGGTGGAACTTAGGGCAGACATGGAGGGCACTGTAGTTGTCTTTGGGATCAGCCCCTCTGAAGCAGACCACTATGTATTTGTGCAGATGAGTCTGGCTACTCAGATCACTGCAGAAAAGATTAAAGGCCAGGGGGAACAGGTCTTGAGAGTTCTCACTGGGGCTGCCCTCGTTGTGGCCACAGGTATCATCGCACATGGTATTGGCATCATTGGAAAGAAGGAAGATTACTTTATCTGCTGCTTTCTTCTGAGTGGTAAGCCACTGAACTGGACCCATCTCAGCTATTTTCTTTTTCTGCCATTTTTCAAGGATCACCTCACTTCTGCAGTTATTTTGAAGAAATTCWGTGAAGTAACAAACTGTGTGATGGAAACATATTTCAGATGGGTGGACCACCAGAACTTTAATGAGGGGCAGTAGCCTTGTAGTAGGAAGGGAAGTGTTCTTGATCTTTTCTGTGAGAGGAGGAAAAGCATTTATTATCTGAACAGTTAACAGCAGGCTTTCGCCCTAGTCTAAATCACCCCCGATAAGTGATCCCTTACTTGAGAAAGAATGTTAGTGGAGCACTGGGACCTAACTGATTTAGTGAGTATGTTGCAGGTATCATTTTAGACATAGCACCTGAAACATACTCACTAAATTAGTCTTCTCGAGCTTTATTTTTTCAAATAAATTCATAGAAATTATTTAGGCTTAGTTACTATCCGATCTATGCACTTCACATCACATTTTGAGTTGGTTTAGCTCTGCGGTAGTTTCTGTGTGTTCCATTAAAGTTAAACCCCTGGAACTTAACTGGAATTCTGCCCTCTACTGGACTATAAAAGAAACTACAACTAATACAGTTCAAGTAGCATTTCCTAAATATAATATATAGCATTTCCTAAATATAAGTCTTCCTGAGGTCACAGTTCTCATAGCTTTCTGAGCATAGAACATGGAATTGATCTTSTTCTACATACAACATTGCATGCAACTCAAAGGGTGCATTTACATTTCCTCTTGTACATGTGGAGGAAAGCTGCAGAGTCTTTATTGGGTGGCTGCGAGCTCTGATTCTATATTAATTCCTTGACTTCTGTTGTCAAGTATCAAGTATTCTAGAGTTTGCAGAGACCTTAGTATACCAGTTGTTCTTAGGTCTTAAAGAACTTTTTAAAAAGTAAGGACTAGCATAGAACATCTGTCACAGGTGACAGTAGACTTCTAGCCATTTTTTTGCCCATTTCAGTATTTGTAGAAGCCTTCATGGAAAAAATGAAATAGGTGGTAGGTAGTTACCAGATCTCCAAGTTCTCACTCTGCTTTAACCTGGCAGATGTGATCCAGTTGTTAGCATATCAGGCTCTCTAATAGTGCTCTAAGGCATTAAATAAATGTTGTGTTAACCCTGGGAAATGCCAATGAGATGGCCTCTAGAGGAATCTCCTTTTAGAAAGTTGAAAACATGGGGCTTAGGGTGTAACTCTTTGGTAGAGTGCTTGTCTAGCATGCGTGATGTCCTGGGTTTGATCCCCAGCAATGCCACAAAAAAAGTTCAAAATGTGATTTCCTCATAAGARTACCTTTAGGGAATTATAATCTTACCATGCCTCCACATTAGGTAGATCCCAAACACCAGCACCATGGTGGCCACTAGCAGCAACGAGAGAAGCAAAGGCAGCCAGCCTCCTAGCACGCTTCTATCTGGAGAAAACAAAGCTTACCTTCAACAAAATAAAACCAATTTATTGTGTATTTGAAAACAGAGTTTTACTCTCTGTAGAAAGTTTAGATCCCTTTAAAACCAAGGGTCAGATCTGCTTATCAGTGTGTTTTCCCACAGTGTCCAGGTTTCTCATTAGATTCTCCCAGGAGATATGGGACCTGGGGAGTTCTCCAGAGACTCTTGGGTTTCTTGCTTCTTAAACACACACAGAGACATTTTCACTATGGTAACCTGAGCTTACATCAGTTTTGTGTACTTTGAGGAATTAGTGTTATTCTGGGTATATTTGTTATATAAACAGTATACATAGGTRGCATTTTTAAAAGCTGTTTTGTGAAATGGGAAATTATGCCATCCCTTCACAAGAACACCAAGGTTGTCACAGGCTCAGGCACCCTAACACGGAAGTTAGAATTATGAGGCACACAGGTTGTCCTCAGTGTGCTTGGCTGAAATTCTTAAGAATTAACACCTTCTATCTTTTGACCCACCCCAGGCTACTTGCAGGAATACTTGTCCATCTGTAATTAAAAAAAATTTTAAAAACCTGACATCTCTAGAGAGGCAAAASAGTATTTCTGATTTGTTATCCAAATGTTGGCAAAGTGACCACATCAAGTCATAGCCCCACTGAGACTGATGAGAGAATCAGAATGCATGAAATAGACATTCCCTCTTATTCCTAGTCCTTTTACACCATTGACTTTTCAACAGATTCCTGTGGCACTTTGATCATTGTGACCGTTTCATATATCCTGTAAAGTTTCGAATCTGTATTTGGATTTGGGGGTTTATAGGCCAGCACTGGAATCACTCTGTACCCCAGTTCAGCATACACAGGCAAAGGCCCTCAAGACTCTCTACAGACAGAGTTAATGGAGGCTGTGCCTATGACCTGGGCCTCTGATTACCCAGTGAAATGACCAGGCACTTACTGTTATCTGGAGGGAAGGGGACAACTGTCGTTGGGCAAAGCACCACGGTCCCTTTGCGTCTGATACAGTCGTTGCCACAGGTAGGGAAATATGGAATCAACTGAGGAAAAACCAGAAGTTCAAAGTTCACACTGCACTTCAGACAACCTTAACAGTTTTTCTACTTCCACCATGTCTTCCCCTTTTTTCTGGTTCCAACCCTATCTCTGCACTTGTTATGGACATTTCCCCTTGGTCATACTTGTATAGCAATGCCTAGAAATCCAATCTAATGACTGAACATGGAAATGTCCTTTAAGACTCCTATTGATTTTATTATCTAAAGGGGTTAGGTTATATCCTAATACATATGCAAATATCTCCAGGACAGTGGAGCAGTAAGGCTCATATTAACCTCAGTCAGGGAAGTCCCCTGCCTGGAAAAGTCAATGGTTTCCTAGAAGAGGAGCACAGTCATAATAAGCTGTGAAAGTCTGCTTTCTCTGGCCAGTTTGAGCACTGCCTTCCTATCCCAGAGAATGAAGGACAAAAGCTCCTCCCCTCTCCTCTCCAGGGTGGCTGTGTCCCCACATCCTAAAGTCAACAGTTGCAAGAGATCAGAGAGCATCTATCCAACCAACTTCCATTTCCAGCTGGGTCAACTGAGACCCTGAGAGGACAGGCAGTCACTCTCTAATGTTCATACATACACTGATCTGGAACTCAAACCTTCCAACTTCAAATCCTCTGCAACTTCATTTTGCAGTTAAAACTGAAGCTGGGGGAATAAAATGATTCTCCCATCTCAGTATTACCATGAGGATCTGTGACAGAAAATGGAAATGAAAGCAATCTGGAAAGTCAACAGGGACTGTCAGCTTCCTGATCTAACCATCATGGATCCCAGTTAACATCACTAGCATCCCGATGCAGGAGTGAATTTGAGAGAAGTGACTCACCCTGTAAAAAAAAACTCACAAAACGGTGGAACAGTCTTTTAGTGTCCCTCCCCTCCCCAAAGCACCTCACTAAACTTACCTGAACCACAGCACCTTCGCTTTCCTCAGTCACTAGGATGGCTATCGAAGTTCGCTTTGTTTTGTTCTGGTGCAGGTGAGATGAAGTCATATGAGTGAGCATATCAAAGACTGTCAATGAAGAAGTCATTTCCCAAACTGACTTTTCAATTAATTATGGGAATAAGGATTCMTTTCATACTTTTGGTTGGTTTTAGTACTATATCCCAGTATACACAAGGATTTTTTTTAATGTGTCAAATTAATCAAAATAGCCAAGCATATTTGGACAACACATTTCTCTTCTCTCTGAAGAGCTTTCTTCAGGGAATCCTARTTTCTATGCTTTTTCCTTCAACAAGATAAGGAAGCTGGAGGTTGAGGATGGGGGTGATGATAAGGGAACCAAGGATAGAAGTACCTCAAACACTTGAGAAAACCAAATGCTGGTGCTCTGTTGGATAAGAACCGTGTATCTGTTTCCAAGGGAACTGGTTGTAAAATTCACTTCAACCATCTTCTCATTCTTCTTACAAGCAGTGATGTTGGGATCCCACAGGCTTCCTAAGAGTTGAGAGCAAACCACTGAATGAACTTGCTAACCTTTCCCTTATTAAGTTCCCAAAAGGGCTTTACTAAAAAGAGAAACCCAAGTTCTCAGGCAAACACCAAGATAATGTCTCCACTACACAGTGTGCTTTTTAAACATTGCTTCCAGTGTCAGAGTACCTGCAGTCCAAGAAAGTTTAGAGACCCCATGCCACTGCTTTGCTAAAGAGCAGTAGGAGGCAAAGATTGATTTTTTTTTCATTAGCTTCTGTTCTCAGCTTCTATTTGAATTACGGGCTAAGGCCAGTATTTTCTCCTCAGAATATGAGAAGGAACCACAGGTTGGGATACATGTCTATGATTATGGAGTGAATGAATTTAGGATCAGGAGTACGATGACCTAGATAAGGACACAGTTCTAGGCGCTCCATCCATCACAGCATTGTGCTAGCTTTACTGAATACAAAGAAGGAAGTGCCTCATAGCTTGGAGGATACTCTCACAGGTGAACTGTGTCAGAAAAAGTCAGTTGTTCCATTGATGTGACTTGCAAATAAGGACAAGGTTGATTTCCATGAACATGACAYGTGATAGTGTTATCTTCCCCACCTAAGAGACCATTTCAGGCCCTGGCTTGAAACTATCTTTCATTCTAGGACTGATTTCCAGGCCCTTAGACCTTACTCCCCCTAAACCCCAACCACGTTCCTACAAATTTCTCTCTCCATGAGGCAAGAGAGGAAGCCCAGTACTCCATGGCTGTCTCTAGAAAGAACAGCATTTGTAGCTTAGTCTGTTAAAGGGTGAAGGATGCCTAAAAGATAGACACTAATCCCTCCAAATACCACCACTCTTATTAACATCCCAAGACTATACTGCCTGGAAATAAACAAAACTCCCCCAGAAGTTGGGTATTTCCGACTGATTATCCTAAAGAGACTATTCTACAATTCAAGGGGCAGAGTTCTAATAGTCTAGCATGGGAGAGGTGATCCTCTTTGAGAACACAGGTTGAGAGCATACTTCTAGGTTATTACTTCGACTAACACTCCCAYCCTAAATGTTTGCTAATCCAAACAGAAAATCCTCAGGTTTCTCACAGCCATAGGTCAGTAGCACTAGTGAGCCTGTGAAAGGACTCAGAGCTCCCTTAGTATCAGGAAAGGCCTTTGATTGGCACCACTATAAGTATGGTTTGGGCTAAAATGTTAGTTTAACCAAGCAGTGGAGGTGGTTTCGTATGACTGTTCTAATACATAAAACTTTACTAAGAATCTTTCCCTGGATAGGCTTTCTGCCCCAGTGGGCAAGTGCTAGCCAGGCATCAGGAGCCCTGGCTGCTGCTGTCTTCATCAAGCAACTTGAATACGTAACTCCCCACTKTGAGCCTTGGTTTTTTCATCTGTAAAAGAATGGATAGAGCTGTGCTGACTCAATTTATAACTATCTTCAAATAGTAAAGAGCAGAGTGCTGTATTTACTTACCTGCCTTGATACACTTTTTTTTGTATTTCATTATGTGGTCTAGGCAGCCTGGGAATATGAATGAAACTTGTTACACTTAGGAAAAGGTATCCGTGCTACTCCCTGTCAACAAGTACAAGCACACGCACACATATCACACCTATAGCAAATTGCCAAAATATTCCAGATACAAGTGAGATGGCAAATCAATGGGACCCTGACATTTTATTCTTGAACAAAAATCATCTGTCCATAGAGTGGTAACCCATCTTAATTTAAATACAAGCTTTATCAAAACAGTTAACAATCCCCAAGAGAACACTTGGAAAGTCACCATGTCTAAAAACATATCTAAAACGGGCCAGGGATGTTGCTCAGTGGTAGAGCATCCCTGGGTTCCATCCCAAGTACTGCAATCAATCAATTACAAAATGATATTTGGTTTCATCAAGGAAGCTGGAAACTACTGTGTAATAAATGGCATGGTACCAGAAACACCGTAGATGGTGGAAGTGTACCTTCACTTTTCCCGTGTATACAGCCCAGCATGAATGACTTGACCTCTTGGTCTCTTCATCTCTAAGATGGGGCTTTCCCAACCCTAGGTTTGTTGGGAGGCTTGGTGAGATGACTCCCATCAAGCACTCAACACACCCATAGAAATGGGTTTTTCCTTTCCTTTTACCCGATTTAATCCTCACAGCTCTGTGAGTAAGGAGCAGTTACAACTCTGTATCACGTATGAGGAAACCAAGACYTTGCAAGGCCAAAGCCTCACTTTGACTCTATGAATCAAAGCCAGTGTCCCAGCAAGACAGAATAACTGAGAAGTTGAGAAAGATTACCTGGTGAAGTGAAGTTCACAGACAAAGAAGGGCTGTCTTCATTCATATTTGCATTGGGGATATTATGGGCCCCAATGAGATAGAGCGTGCTCAGCTCCACGGGAAAGCCAACGTAGGAGAATGTCCACTGGAAGGCAGAACAAGGAACAGCATCTATGTGTTGCCCTTTCCATTTTTACTTTCATCCTTTACACTTCTACTGAAACTTGGGTCGTAGCCAATGTTTACTTAGGGAATTGGTGCCAGACAGTCTGCTGGTGTGACTCATACAATCAGAAAAGTGAGATTTTAGAGCCAGGATGTAATTTAAGACCCCTCACTTTGCTGAAAGGGAAACTGAGGCCCAGAAATTCTGACTTGCCTAATGCACAGAAGTGGCCCAAACTGGGACTTGGACTCAAGTGTCCTGTTCTGTGTCACAGCTGCTCATCAGCCTATTTGAGCAGCACATGGTTCATGTTCCCCTATCAGCCACATCCCTCAAAGTGCTTACTTTGCCACCAGAGGGTCTGGTCTGACTCTGGAAGGCCTCCGTGTAGTTGCACCTCACACAGGCATATGACTGGAAGTTGTTTTTGCCTGTCACACAGATCTTGGTGGCCTTCAACAAGCGGATGCTGGCTGCAGAGAGTTGAGACATTTGTTTATTTGTCACTTACTATATGACTGGATGCTAGATACTTTACATGCTTCATTTCAGTCCTTAATCACAATAGCACCAAAAGGTAGGCCTTGCTGTCCCCAGTATACAGATGGAGTCAGTGAGGCTCAGGGAGTTTCAAGCAGCAGTGCCTAGCTTTCACAACTTGGGTGTGAACTCTCAGGATACCTGTGATTAGCTTAACATCTGTTCTATTCTGGATCTCTGAGAGGAACAGGCCTGCATTGGGAACCCCACAAAGACCCTCCAAGAGTATCATCAAGCCATGCATGTCCTGACTGCTTCTTTTTCCACACTGACTCTTCTCCGTGGCATGTCCTTTCCTCCCATTCTTGCCTCTGCAAGTTTGACTCTGGTAAAGTCCAATATGTGTACCACGGCCTATAACAAGGCACACAAAGAGCTCATTTTGCCAGGGATGGGGCAAAGCCTTAGTGTATCATCTCACAAAGGAGTCTTGCCAGGGCCTCCCTCCTGGTCTTCCCTGCCTGCATCCCACTCACATGGGACACAGTCCCCTTCAGGGCTTCCTGGTCACTGCCTGTGTCTGCCTCCCAACCTCTCTGAAACCTTATGGGGGGAATAATTGACCTATCTCTCAGTGCCTGGCACTCATGTATTTTTGGCTGCATCAAATTAAACTAATTTATCAGATGGAAACTACAAACATGGGCACTGAGATCCTGGGTGGATCCTGGAATTAGCTCATCTGAAGAACCTGCCAGTTGCCTTGGAGTGTAATCTAAGGGAAATGCCAGAACTTTCACAATATTATTTGGGAAGTAGAAAAGTAGCCTAAGTTTTCCTTAACTGGGGGAGTTATCGCTGATCTTAACCCATCTTCTTCCATATGGAAATATACCATGTCATCAGTGTACCACGTAATGACTTTGCACATTCATGCAGCCAGTTTGGGTTAAGAAAACCCCTGGAGTGCCCCTCATGCTTCATTTCAGTCATCCCACCCCCAAAGTAACCACCATCCCAACTTCTAACTTTGCCCACTACATTCATTTTGCCCTTTTTTAGAAAGCATCATAGTTGTAGGCATGCATATAGACATCAGTGCATAAACTCTTCATAACCTGGCTTCTTATGTTTGTGACACCTATATTATGTATAGTAACAGATCATTTATTCCTATTGCTGTCTTGGATTCCATTTTTCCATTGGACATTTAAGTCCTTTGGGTTCTTACAAATAGTGCTGCTGGGAACATCTTAACCAGTGGCTTTTGATGCATGCATGTATGTATTTCTGTTGGGTATGCCTAGGAGCAGGATTAATGGGTCATCCTGCCTGCACACTTCTGGTTCATTAGACACTTCAGGATTTATCTTTGATTTGCATCAGCAAACCTACCATCTGCTCGGAGTATCCAGCTTATGTTCATCAAAATTGAATAGTCCTCTGTTGCAGCACTGGTTTTAGCAAGTTCCACACGGAGGTCCCTCAAGTCCCCTGGGGTCAGATTGTGTTGGACCATCCACTCTGGAGACGGCCCTGGGAAAAGGCAAGATTTCCCATTGACACTCCTCTTCCCTGCTGAGTCTGATATCATCTCCTGTAACCAAATCACCCTGCTCCATCCCCCATTCACAATTCATTAACTCTTCCTGCTAATCAGGCCAAACATTTCTGGGTGCTGGCCAATTTATAGCTGAGGTGATGCTGAACTGAGATTAATGCTTTCAGCCTTCTGGCCTCAAACTACACATCCCCTGGGACTACTTTAGGTGCCCCTCTCCATGTGTGGACATGCTTAGTGTATTGCCATGTTCATTAGGGTCAGTCCTGCCATCCCTGTGCTTTAGCATAGGACTTCAGCCAGTTGGCATATACCACCACACGTACCCACCTCCTAGCCTTTGCTGCTGCAGCTGCTCTCTCTCCTCCAGTTTATCCTYCCTATTCACATTTCCTGGGCAGAGGCCCACCCATTTTTCAGTGTTATACTSTCAAGCATTTATTCTACTAATATTTGCTACCTGGTCCTAGTTATAAGTGATCTCCCTCTCCAGCACTTGATCTCTCTTTGCAGGGAAGCAGGCATTGCTTTCTGTCTTGCATGCTGTGCCCCCTGACTGTTCAGGAGGCCAACCCATCTCAAACACCTCAGTATTCCCCCAGAGTTCTATGTTAAGAACTTCAAACACATCAGCTAACAGGCTCATCCTTTACCTGATCTCCAAAGACCCACTGCCTGAATTCAGGCCTTCTTTGAGTATAATGTCCCAAATAACCATTCCCTAAGGCACCTACCAGTTTCAGAGCCACACTGAATAGTCTGCAAGAGAAAAAGAAACCAAGTGTCATGTTGAAGCCAGTAAACCACAAGCCTTCCTTTACCAAACCAGACAACACACTATCTTTTTTGTTAAATGCCTACATAAGTGACAAACTTTCAAAGTAAAAATGAGCTGCTTGTGCTTCACAGCTAGGGGAAACTAAGCTATGATTGGACCATGGATTTGGCCATCAGTATGCCTGCTCCTCAAGCTGACCCATCAGTTCTCTTGAAGACCAGGATTAGTCTCTGGGCATTAGCCTTCTCTGCCTCTAGCCAGGGATGACTCTGGACCATCATCATGAGGTCCCTTCACACTCCAATGCTTAACTCCCAGTTTTCAGGATGGTCTGGAGTATATGAGTTTCCCCATGGTCAGGATTGGCTGCACTAAGAAGATGAGCAGAAGAAAGCATTGAATGCAGTCCACAATACCTTCCTCAGGTTTTTTTTCACATATTTCTCTTCTAATACAGAAGGACTTACTAGAGCTATTTAGAAAACCATAAACAACTGTCACTTCATCCTGTTGTCTTTTTTAAAGAGCTTTCAAAAAAGCAAATATGTATCATCAATGTCCAAGAAAGGTCAGTGAGAAACCCTTTGAAGTTAACTGTTTTTTTCTTAAGAAATATTTAAAAAATTTGGTTTTGGCATTACATACTCAACCTAAAACATTTAACTCTCAGGARCAAGTTCCAATGATGAATGAAACTCAATGTGATAAATTCACCAGGTCTGGAATCCAATCCCTCTAAACCTCCACATTTCCAACACCTTGTAAAACAGAAGACAAGAAGACTTTTGAGGGTTTGAGTAATTTGGGTTTAGGTGAAGTTGTCAATCATCCCTTTGTCTTTGTGAAACTGAACTCTGGAAGGATACCATCAGACGTTCTTTTTAAACAAATAAGCCACCATACTGGAAACTGAAGTCTTGTCAAAGAGCTGGTGACGCAAGTGTTAGGAAGAAGCAAAGCAATAGCTCTAAACTTGACAGAGTTAATACTGTAGACCTTACAGTAACTGCCACAAAGGCAACGAATTCTTGCTGCAGCGGCGAATGTGAAGAGGACCTCAGAACAAAGAGGCAATGGTAGTAGCAGAAGGCATCAGGACACAACGGATGGGTGTCCATAACCATGAATAAGTAACAACCATACTTTTAGGCTATTTGCTATGCTAACAGTTCAGAGATTGGTTTTGAATATATGTTGGGGGCTTTAGCAACCCAGAAGATTCCTTCAATCATTCAAGACACTGGGGAAAGGGAATCACAAATCAAAAAGGGGAAAATAATGAAAGAAAGGAAAAAAGAAAAAGCTGGTAGCASGGTGTGGTGGTTTATGCTTGTAATCCCAGAGACTTAGGAGGCTGATGTAGGAGGATCACAAGTTCCAGGCCAGTCTCCGCAACATAGCCAGACCCTGTCTCAAAATAATTTTTTTTTTCAAGGGGAGGAACTGGGGATGCTGGGGATGTAGCTCAACATCCCTGGGTTCAATTCCCAGTATCAAGAAAATGGGGGGGGGCGGGGGAGCAGGCCGGTGGTAATGGAGAAGCAGTTCTTGTGCCCCCACAGGTGAGCAGATGGCCAACATAAATGGGCGCCTACTCATCAGCAGAGAGGCTCTTTGCTGCTGCTTTGCAGGTTATGGAATACATGTTAGGCAACCAGGATGAGTTAGGTACTTACTCCTGCACGTCCCCTCCCCCTTTTAATCAATGAGGATAACGGAGCATAAAAGACTGAATTAAGAACCCATGATGGCATTTGTGACCCGGTCGGTCGGGATTCCCACGCCCCTGACCCAAGCAGCCTGACACCCAGCGCTGGCGGGGCTAAAAACAGCCGGCTGATGGGGGTCTGAGGCTCATCGAGGCTACTCCAGGTAGTGCAGACCTGTCCACCCGACAGAGTGGTCATCTTTAGCAGCGTGGGCTAGCAGCCCCGACGCCGTCAGGGTCCAGGCTCAAGAGACAGTCTAGGGAAAGGGATGTGGGCAGGGGCTTACCGGCTCTCCGGGCATGGCGCTCCAGCATAGCGCGGCCAGGCTCAGCAGCACAAGCAACATAGCCTGGCCACCGCCCACCACCACGCGGGACGCGGGACAGCCTCCAGCGGCGCTCTTATCCCGGCGCCCAGGACAGCCCTCTTGGGCTCCGCCTCTCCCTGCGCCCTCCCTCGGGCCTCCCGGCCGGCCGCCCACAGCCCAGGGTGGCTGAAGGCGCAGCGACCTCACCTGTGGGGCTCGTGCAGATGGGCGGGGTCCGAGCCGCTCCGGCCCCTTCAAGGGCAGAGCCGAGCAGTGAAGGCTGCACCACCCCAGCGCACTTGTGCGCGCACTGAACCGATGCTGCGACCCCACGCGTCCGCGAGTTCCAGTCCTGGAGCACACCCGGCCSAGCGGCCCACGGGACCCTTACAGAAGCTGAGAGCGCGAGCTGGGCGGGTGCCGCCGGTTAAAGCGTAGCTCCTGCTCGGCGGCCGCCGACTGTCCCGGCACTGGGACCCACCTTCCCAGGGTAAGTAGTGGGCAACTCGCTCTGGCCCTCTGCCTACCCAACCCACGGAGCCTCCCGGAGGAGGCGTGGTGGATCAGGAGGACCCTGATGGACGCTGAGATTCGGGCTCCCTTTACCCAGCGGCAGAGCTCCAGAAGGAAAAGTAGTGGGACACAGTCCCCGAAGCCCCATTAAAGAGCTAGTACTCAGCAGGAACTTAGCGATAAAAGTGATAGGAATCTGTACTCCAGCCCCTCCGGCTTTCTGGTAACTGTGTAACTCCATAAAATGAGGTCTGACTAACACTTGAGGCTCCAGAAGCTGAAGTGAAGCCTCAGCATTGTGGGTTTAGAGATGTGGTTCCCCAATTTGTGCTCAGGATCTCCCAGTGCTGCCTAAATGAGACTGGGACTGCCGGGCCCAGCTAGCTCAAGGTCTAGATTTAGCAGCAGCCTCACCCCCTAATTCTAGGGTGGGTGGTCCAGGGACTACCGTCCTTTGAGATATAGTGGTTAGGGGGACGGTTGAAAAACAGTTGGGCTAACAACAGTACAGAGCCTGGAACTCTCATGCCACAGCCCTCTCATTTGTAAAAAGATTGGGTTTAACTCAGGGTCTCAGGCTCATGGGCTGAATTTGCTCCATTTTGCACGTGAGAAGCCAAGACTTGTGGAAGAGTTGTCAGCTGGTGAGAGGTTATATTGAATCAACCTGTGTTTACTGAGGCCCTACTTTGAGCTAGTCCTGAGGGGCCAGGCTCAGTTGAAGTTTCCTATTTCTGCTTGCACAGAATAGAGCCCAGACTCCAGCCTCAAGATCAGCTGGGGGCTCTGGCATGTGTGTACACAGGATTGAAGAAATGTTTCCAGAGGATTGTTCTGATTCCTAATCAGTTGTGGCCTCACTCATGCCTGGGGCTGAATCACCCTCAGCCACTCATTGAACCTTTCTGAGTAACTTTGGGCACCTGTGGTCTCTGAGATTGTTTCTCTAACAGTCTTTCTGTTTAGCAAACACCTGCCAGGTACCAGGGTGCAAAGGTGAACGGTGCATGAGTGCTCTCAGACTGAGGATGAGTACAGGGAGAGCTATGTTCAAGGGCAGCTGCAGAAGCCAGTGGACTTCGTCCCATGGTGCCAGGGAACCACAGCAGGCTTTTATATGGTGGTCAGTCTTCCGTTTGTGAGAAGCCACCTGGGTGTCTGTGCAGAGCAGGCAGAAACTAGCCCCTCTGAGACCAGGGAGGCAGCAGAGGTTCAAGGTGCTCACTCTGTGAATAGCCCAGCCCCTGCGCCCCTGGCCAGGTTCTGAGCGGTGCTGCCCTTATAGCCTGTACCAGAGCAGGCCCTGCTGTGGTGAGCTTGGGGATACCAAGGCCAGGCCTGGAAGTTGGTCTCAAATCAGCCATTTTCAGGGGCCGTGAGGAGGACAGCCCCTCCCCCACTGGAGTAGGAAGTGAGGACTAGGAAGCTCTGTCCTAAGAAAACCCCACTTGAGGCCAGAGCTCTTGGGGTCACATGGGCACAGAGTTCAGGGTCACCTGGCCTGACCTTGGCAAGAACCAGTGGGTCCGRCACAGGAGGAAGTAGGCTCAAAATGGGAGTGGGCAAGAGGGATGGTTTTGTTTTGAGAAAGGGGTGGGAGAGTTTCCTTCTCCAGGGAAGAAACTAGAGGGCAAAGGAGAAGAGTAGGATGTGGGTAGGGTGGGAAGGAGTTCTAGGCAGGGTGCTGGGTGGGCTCCAGCTACAGCTTGAGTGGTTCCCTCTCATCCCAGGTCCATGATGGTAAGCCTACAGCTCTCTGGGCAGGGCTGTAGAGTGGAGAGTGGAAGGAGAAATGAAGAGGGTCCTCCAACAGGATGTGCCTGCCTGCCTCTTCAGACATGTTCACACTGACTTTGCCACAAGTGTCCCTCTGTGAGAGGTCCTTGCTGGTTAAACACACAGCTTCCTAGGTGTCCTGCTGGAAGGGACAAAGCTTGCTTGGATGCCTAAGTCTCAACAGTATGTGTTGATAATCTGGAGGCGGGGCCATCCAGGTCAGGGCTGGGCTCAGCTTCTTTCTCCCCACCTCTGATAAGCCATTGCTCTTCCGAGAGCCTCAGTTTCCCTTTTGTAAAGTGTGGTGGGTAAGACAGAATAATGTCAGTGAGGTGATTCAAATCTGAAAGAAGCAATCTATAAAGACTGATCTCTGCCTTGCCCCTACCATCATGTTCTTCTAGGTTTGGGTTTCTGAAAGAGCCACCTGGCACAGCATGCCTTCATGTCCTGGGCTTAGTAGGCACTCATTTAAAATGTCCAAATGAATGAATGAATGAATGAACACTTGTCTTCCTCCAAGGCTGTGCCTAAGCCTGCTGCCTAGGAGAGCTGGTTTGAACTTTCTCCTGTTCTTCCAGGCAAGCAAAGGTCAGGGTCTCAGCCCAGCCTGGAGGACTGCAGTGTGCCTGTGCCCTACCCACCCAGACCCCAGGAGGTGCCATGTTCCCACTAGAGTCAGGAATCCTGGCCTACACACTGCCTAACTCTACTCGCTCACCATTGTTGCCTTGACTGAGGCTTTTTAGACTCTTGAAGCCTCAGTTTCCGGATCCATCCATAACATGGGGCTGATACCAGCTTTGCCTGCCTACCAGKAGGACTTTAGGAGACTCTGAAGAAACGAGACAGGAAAGCAAGTCAGAGAGGTTAAAATTATTTTGTAGCTTTTCAGGCAGATATGTGGGACAATTTTTAAAAGTTCCTAATATCTCTGACTCAAATAGGGAAATTCCCTTGGGCTCTGGAGGAACAACAATCCCCAGATTCTATCACTGCTACTCAGACCTTTGTTGCTGGGCTGGATCCATCCCTGAGAGGACAAGGCCATGTGGGCTGTTGACATGTCCTGGGTCCAGTCTCCACCCACACAGGTGGAATTTTCCATTTCATTCTTTTGCAAATATTAAGGCCCTGGGAAGTCAACAGTGGATTCTTTGTCTCCTGAAGAGGGAGCCTTTATAGGCAAATGCCAGTTGTCTCCCAGGGGCCCCTGGAGCTGGCTGAAGCTGGGAAGGGAGCCCTTAGAGCACTCTGGCCCTTGGTGTCCCCTTGCTCCCTGTTCTGCTCCAGCTGCTTGAACTTGGCAGAGTCAACTTTAATGCCTGCTTTGAGCCACGGACCCTGAAGCCACACCCAGGTCTGGAACCCACTGTTTCTAGCAGGGTCACAAACTGCAAACATTCTGTCTGCTCCAGTAGGAGGGGCCAGCCCAGGAAAGCACACAGACTCTGGTCACGGTGGTAACCAAGTATTAATGCCAATTCTGCCAGTTTCTAGGACCAAGCCCTGTGAGGTCACAACCTGTGTGTCTTGTTCCCTGGGTATTTACATGGATCTTCACCTTCATTGTTCTCACATTGGGGCTTCAAAGAATATCCAGAAACACAGGGAGGCAGGTACCATTGTTGTTCTGTCAACAATAAACTGGTGACAGGTCAGCTTCGGGCTGTTGGGGAATCACCTGAGGTTTCAGGGAGCTCTGTATTAGGTCAGTGGTGTTTTTGATCAGTGATTCTTGAATGAATCTGTTTTTGTTGCTCTGATTGTTCTTGTTATTATTTGTAACTGCAGCATCACATTCTGGGGAATGATTTTTGGCCAAGTTATATTGTGTATTGCTTTCATGTTTGAATATGTAACAATAAATCCTGCCGCAGTCTGGCTGGGCACAAAATCACCAGCCACTCAAACAGGAACAAAGTTTATTTTTAAACTCCCACCAATGCCCTGTATGCTCTAGGGAAATATGCCGACCCCCACTACGGTTCTCCTGGGCACACACTCCAACAGGAAATCCCTCCTCCGGAATTCCCTTCTACCGCACTTCCCCAACCAATGGGAACTCTCCAGGAGTCCCTTAGCAGGCCCAGGTGGACAGCAGGGGTCTAATATCCATATGAATGCAGATCTTAACATAATCTTATCATCTCAATGGCTTGCTGGCGACACCTTTCAACCAAAAATGCCATGCATAATACTACTTGGCTATGGCTCTTAGCAAAATCCCTCAGTAGGTACAACTGTAATACACCAACAAATATGTGGGGGAAAAAAATTGTGCACTTTATGGAGGAGGAAATGGAGAAGTAAGGCTGAGTGAGGAAGAGAAGAAGGATGGAACTCAGGCCATGCTATGAACTTGATAAAATCACCAAGTTCTTTTAATTTTTAATTTTTCAAAGTATGCTATTAGCTCTTATTTCCTTTTGCCCTCATTTAAAAACAAAACAAAACAACAACAAATGACTGAAATGGGTTCTTGTGTTCCCATTTTATGAATGAGGAAGTAGGCTTGGTTGCAATGTCTCTACCCTGACTTTTCTGCAATCCAGAGATCTTGACCATCATCAACTTTCACTTCTCTTCTAAGCAGTGGAACACGACTTGTTGATGTCGTGCATGATCCCCAGCTCCTGATTTATTTCTGCCCTTTAATGCTGGAGTAATTTCTAGTTGATACAGGGAAGCAGTGAGAGTTTTGTAAGCGGCCCACCTTGTGGTCTTAGGACTCTCTGTGGTTAAACTGATCCAGAAGTTTGAAAGGGAAATGGCAGTGAGCATGCGTGTGAAAGTTGGCAGGCTAGCTGGCTGGTTGGCCATGGATGCAAAGGCCCTTCACCAGAGCGGGCACTTGGCCCACTTCCTGGGCCTTGCTGGTGTTCTTGGAGGTGGCTAGCAAGTGAATTTGGATTTTCAAATCAGCCGAGTTTTGCAGAGCTCCTCCCCTCTTACCTGCAGGAAGTAACTCACGCTACAAGTAGTGACAGGGAAGCTTTGTCCTGAACTTTCTGGCAAGCCACCAAAGCTGACAGGTTTGGGGTCTCCTGGAGATTAATGTCTTGGCTGCAATATTCTTAGACTCTTTGTGGTGAGAAGCTAGATGTTTGTTTTAAAAATTTTAATCTCACATAGGCTGAAATTCACTAAAAAATAATGATAATAAAAATGAAAATATGGAAAATGAAAGCCCATTCTTTTGTTAGGCTCCTCAGACTTTGGTCACTGATCCAGGTGCCTTGAAAAGTTTCTAAACTCTGACTTGCATTCTGTACTTATCTTTTACAGACAATCACAGATTGTGTGTGGCTGGCTGGCTCTGGTTGCAGACTGCAYTGTATCCTGTCACTTCTGGGCATAAGGTGAGTATGTTTTCATTGAGATTTAGAAAACCAGTTAAAAGTGCATTTGAAACAAAAACTTGTGACAGAGTGTTTGCAGATGGCCCCAAGCTCCTGTGGAAAAGCTAGAATCCCTCACCCTGGACCAGCCCCTCTGCCTCCATCTGGTTCTTTCYCTTCCTCCTTTAATAGGGATATTTTCGATTCCAAACAAAAAAAAATACTACAGAAAAAATTCTAGTCGGGTGTGGTAGTACACGCCCAGTGGCTCAGGAGCCTGAGGCTGGAGGATCACAAGTTCAAAGCCAGCCTCAGCAACAGTGAGTTGCTAAGCAACTCAGTGAGACTGTCTCTAAGTAAAATAGGGCTGGGGATGTGACTCAGTGGTCAAGTGCCCCTGAGTTCAATCCCCAGTATCTACCCCTCCAAAAAAAAAAAACCCTCTTTATTATGGAAAATTTGAAACATGCACAAAATTAGCCAGAAGATATTATTGAATTTTTTTTAAAGCCTTGATTTTTTTTAAAATGAGAGAGAGAGAGAGAGAGAATTTTTTAATATTTATTTTTTAGTTTTCAGCAGACACAACATCTTTGTTTGTATGTGGTGCTGAGGATCAAACCCGGGCCACACGCATGCCAGGTGAGCGCGCTACCGCTTGAGCCACATCCCCAGCCCGAGATTGTTGAATCTTAAATGTCTCTAATTGTTGAATCTTAAATGTCTCTAATTCATTGCTATCATAATAACAAAGCTATACAAAATGAAAGCAAACTGTCTTATGAGACGGTGTCCCCGGTGTCCCTTTCACATGTTACTCTGCATTTCCTTTGAGTTGGTGGATGGATCTAGAAATATGGTCAGATTCAGACACAGACTTCATGGCAAGGGTATTTTATATGTGACGTGATTTCTCTTGTTCATATTCCTGCTGCTACTGTAAAGAGCAGGCCTTTGGTCTTAGTTGTCTCCTATGAGTGACGTCTCCTGAAATCACTTTGGTGTAGTCYAAGCAGACACTCACCCATATCTTTTCCTGCTGGTTCCTGGCGTACCTTGTCCTGAGATCACCATGGTTGCTATGGAGAGTTGGTTGTGGGCTGGTGTAGCAGCATCAGGGACCCTGGAGAGGGTCCTGGGGAGACAGATGATGGAGCCCAGTCCAGCTGGTGTCCATGGGGTAGACAGAAATGGGAGAATTCAGTAGCGCTTTTGTGACCTTATAAGAGAAGTCACTGTGCCTCTCTGCCTCACATTCCAAGTCTCTCTCCCCTATCTGGGAACGGGCAGTGCATTTTTATGCACCACTCATGTGGCATGTGTTTATTGAGTGCCTGCTGTGTGCCTCACTCTGGGAGTTGCACTGTACGCCAAATACTGTATGTAAGGAAAGGAACCTGGCTGGAAGGGCAACTCTGGATGGTTCCTGCTGAGCAGGAATTTGGTGACTTATGGCCACCAGGATGCCTATTTAAGTCAGCTTTTGTTTTGTGTGTTGCTGTGACCAAAAGACCTGACAAGAACAATTTTAGAGGAAGAAAAGTTTATTTAGGGTTCATGATCTCAGAGGTCTCAGTCCGTAGATGGCCAACATCATTGCTCTGGTCTCGAGTGAGGCCTGACATCATGGTGGAAGGGTGTGGTAGAGGAAAGCAGCTCAGGACTTGGCAACAAGGAAACAGAAAGAGAGCTCCACTCACCAAGACAGAATATATGCCCCCACGGCACAGCCCCAGTGACCGACCTCTTCCAGTCACATCCTACCTGCCTACAGTGACCACCCAGTTAATCTTTATTGGTATTAATGCACTGGTAAGTCACAGCTCTCATAACCCAGTCACACAAGATCTTTTGGGGGATACCTCATATCTAAACCATGACACAATCTTGTGGTGACCTCTGGCTCCTGTGCTGAACCTGGTGTAGGGAGGGTGTTGAGCACCCTTGACGGAGGAAAAGAGGTTGGTTTTCCTCTCATCTTCACCTTACTCTTGTGTTACTGCATACCAGCCAGGACACTGTATTCAACTGACTTCCCCTCAACTGGCTCTAGTGAAAGCTCTGTGTCCCCACTTTCATCCAAGGCCCTCTGCTGTGTGGCCCACGTATCCAGGAAGCCCAGAGCAAGGGCACATCTGAAGGACCCTATCCTTGGGGGCCAGCCTGAGTCTCCTACTTCATCTATCAGAATCATGACTCTTTGAGGGGACCTGAGGAAATTGAGTCACCCTAACAGTAACCTCAGCTGTGCCCGGCCTCTTAAACACACCTGGGACGCTCATTTTGAAGCTACAGATGTGTCCATGAGGGGAAAAACTACAGGTGACCCAAGAAACTGTCCCTGTGATAGGGCAGCCCAGGCTCCACTCTGGTGTTAGGACTTTAGGTTTTCTCACCTTGCTGTCTGCTTTTGATAGAGCCCACTACAGAGGTTTGAGAAAGGGATGAGACCAGCTGGAGAATAAGGGTGTTACAGAGGACACTTTCTGGAATGCAGAATACGAGGACCCATGGTTCAGGGAGGCACTGAGGGGCAGCAGAGGGGACGGGGGGAGGGCTGCCTCAAGTCTCAGGAGTCACAAGCATTGGCATTGCCCTGCGAGGCTGTCGGCCACATGTTACCAATGGGAAATCCTGCTCTGGTCACACCACAAGGCCCCACAGAGCYGGGAGGACAGCCTGGCCTTCCATGTGGCATCAGACTAGAGGGCTTGCAGTGGTGAGGGGTTTCCTCAGCAGCCTGTGTCCTGCCCTGTCCCACCTCAGCAGCTTCACCAAATGCCCTCTGTGCAATTAGCAGGGATGAGAAGCTGGGTACTGGGGAAGAGCAGGGTGGCCTGGTCTTCATGGCTCAGAAGTCTTCTCTGAAGAGCAAGCAATTAGCTCTTTCGGGAGAAGAGGAGAATTTCCAATGGGGTTGTTTTTATATATCAATATGTGGGAGATGAAATCCCTAGGAAAAAAAAAGCCTGCTTTTTGAAGAAGAGATGACTCTACTAAAAAAAGAAAATATTTTAAATTGAGGTACAGTAGTCGTACAGTAAAGTGTGTGTTATGGTACTTTTCATCTGTGTATGTGTCCAGATAGCTGCCATCATGTCAGCATCCAGAACATTCCCAGTGCCCCCTTCCCTGGTGCTCCTGTCCATCTTGGCACACACCTATGGGCTCAGCATCCCATCTTGGACTCCCCAGGACATTTGGTTACAGGCCTTAGGCAGGCCTGTCCCCCACCTGTGTCCCTTCAGACAGCRTTAGAATACAGCCTTAGGCCAGGCCCAGCAAACAGTGGGAGGCCAGGCCGCAGTACCCTGTCAGAGAGATGAAACTTCCACAGGTCACCTCACTGCTAATTAATTGAGGTTCCAGTAATTACAAAGCAGCTCCAGGAAGGAGGACAGCTTCCCAGGAATAGAGGCCTTAGAGGGTCCTGAGGGAAGGGGTGAGTCAGGTGAGCACCAGTCCAGACATTGCCTGGAGAAGGGAGCAGCATGTGCCAACGCCCCAGTGGGGAAAGGGGTCTGAGCACCTGAGCTCAGAGAGCAAGCTGCCAGTGAGTGACGTGAGAGGTGGCAGGCTGAGCAAGAACCAGGCCAGGTGGGGTCTTAGAACCATAAGGACCTGGGGTCATGAGGAAGCTCATTCTGGCATCTTGGTGGGGGTGTTGGGTGGCCTTGGTTGGGGGTGGCAATGAGGTTTCTATGGGAGAAGGAGCAATGCCCAGTATCATTTACTGGACTGTCACTAGCTCTCAGCTCAGGATTGATCTCAATAATCCTTCCTACCCTGGGCCACCATCCTACCACAGGGCTGGGCAGTAAGATGGTGGTGTCCTTGGGTAGGCCCTCTGAGGCTGCAGGAAAGCAGCCAACCCTCTGCCACCTCCTCAGTGCCCATAGCTCTGGTGTGGACACTTGGTGGCTTGAACCCTTTACACATGCTGACCACAGCTTTTTGGCTTCCCTAATGTGGCTTCATTGGTCAGGCCTGTGGTGGGGTGGCTCCACTGTGACTTGACAGGGGGTGTAGATAGGGACTTGACCTTTGGGGGCTTGTTTCCTATCAGTCATGGCCTGATGGTGATGGCATGGGATGGAGACCCCAGCCAACACCTGTGTCTTTGGGGGTTCGAATGGGATAAGCCACCTGACACACTCAGCAGGACAGTTGCTCCAACTGTTCTGAGTTAGTCTGGTTTGATTCTGAGTCTACACCATGGTTTGCTTGGTGCAGTGGCAATCCATGATCAGATAGGTTCACTTACCTGAATGAGGCCCAGCCTAGTGTGGGAACCTCATCTGCCGTCTCTTGGTACCTAGTGGTGAACAGTTAGGTTATGTATAATTTTTTGTGGTATAGACTGTGCTGGATGGACCCCTTGTGCTTGTTTTTCAGTTTTGCAGYGCTCTTTTCTGGTTAAACTCCTGAAAGTGGGAGTGTTGAGACAAAGGGGTGCATCTTTAAAAATCCAACATGTTCATTACCTTCTGGAAAGGTTTACATGCTCCCCAGTTGTGCCCAAAGCAGGATCATTATTTATCATTCAGCCTGAGCATCTCAAAGGCCAAAATAGATTCAGGCATCATTGGGCATGCAGACCCTGGCTGGAACTGCTCAGCCCATCTGAGTTCATTGTCTCTTCTTGGGTGACTGCCCAAAGCAAGGCAGGACTTTAGTGACCCAAAAGATGTGACCCTCACATAGTACACTGCACTAGGCAGAAGCTAGGCAGGAAACATGCTCATGTGTGCACCCAAGAAATGGGTGGGAAGGAAGTGCTGTTAGGAGCCCTGTTCAGAATGTTCTTTCAGAAAGTTCCATCARCACTGAAGCTGCACAATTCTGCAGACAGATTGTGCTCTGAGTGTGGAGCTCCTGAAACAGTGGGCAAGCATTTTATTCTGATTGTGGTTCTTTTGCATCTTAACTCCATCAAAATTATAAAAACTTATGCAACTGGTCACATGTTCAGAATTGCAGGAAATGTCTTGTCATATAAGATAATCAGTGTTCTGACCACA